GCGCCTCGGCTCGGGGGGCTTTTCCGGGCGGGTTGTGGCAAGAAGAGGGGAAACGCGGCGGCGGCCCCTAAGGAGGTGAGCGCGGGCGTCGGGCGGCCGGGGGCCGCGGGCGGGGAGGGGCGCGGCGGCGGGAGCGGCCTCAGCCCCCCACGCACCTGCTCGCGCCCGGGGGCTGCGCCCGGCCTCTGCGGCCCGGCCCTCCATTGTTGCGGCGAGAGGAGGGGAGGAGCGGGCAGGGGAGAGGAGGGGAGGAGAGGGCAGGGGAAGGGAGGGCAGGGGAGGGCAGGGGAGGGACGGGGGCGGGGAGACCCAGCGGCATCGCTGCGGCTCGCGGTCCCCGGGAAGGGGGGCCGGTAGGACCGGCCCCCATGGCACCGGCCCGCAGGTTCCCGGGCCGGGGCGGGGGCGGCGGCGGCGGCGGCGGCGGCGGCGGGGCGGGGCGGGGCGGGGCGGGGCCGCGAGTTTTGTTCTCGGGGCGCGGGGCGGGCGGGGACCCCGGGCCCGGGACGCCGGGCCCGGGGCTGGGAGGGGCGGCGGTGGCGGCGCGCGCGTCCGGGAAGGCGCCCGGGCCAAGTTCACGGGCGCGCGGGCCTGCGGGGTCTGTGCTGGGGCCTGGCTGCGGCCCCGGCGCCCTCCGCAGGCCCGTCTTACCAGCGGCGGCTGCAGGGTCTCTGCTGGGCCGAGGTCCGGTGACAGGCACGCGCCCTCCGAAACGGGCCGGAGTCCCGCTGCCCCGGGAGCCCTTTTAAAGAGGGCGCCTTTCACAGGGGCCTACCCTGGAGGGCATCCGGGGGTGGGAGCATGGAGAAGACCCCCTCACTGGCTGATGGGAGCTGAGAAGTACCCCCTGCGCTTCAGCTCCCTCCGCCACCCTTCCTGACCGATCCCAGCGGCCTGGACTGCTGGCAGACACCGGGTACAGAGCAGCAGCTAAGAGTCCCAAACCGCTGATGAAGACCCCCAAATTCACACACTCCACCGGACAGACATGGCCCCGTTATTACTCACATGGCCTGCAGGAGCGCCGATACACACATGCACACACAGTCACCCACAATAACACTGCCACGTGGGCACACACATCACCCACAATGACGCGGACATCCAGGGCCGGGAGAACACTGCCACATGGAAAATGCAGCCGCCAGCAATGGTGGCTACAGCCTCGCATCTAACACCGACACACACACAGTTCTCCACTGCACACACACACACACACACACACACACGAGGATGCTCACCGCCTCGCAGCACCACAGGCTGTCACCCAGAGTCACCGTGACAACCACAGGTGTGTTAATGCCCCGACACAAGTACACACAGACACCATTCTCCACAAGAACGCAGACGCGCGCACATAGACACCCTTGTGCCCGCCCAAGCAAGGACACACCCACAGCCGCCTGCGGGCGCTCACTCAACCTGACACACACACACAGCTGGCACAAACCCTTCACAGACACTGCCATCGGGTCATAGGAATCTTGACATACGCACAGTAATACGGCTGCACAGGCTGACACATGGTTGCACACGGTAAAACTGATCCTCCTAGACACACGTTATGACCCTGTCACCCCCAAACAGATAGGAACGCTCCAGTGGTATCTACACCCACAGTCACCCACCCCAACACTAAATTATACACATGGACCCCTACAATAATACCGATACACATCAGACACAATGGCAGAAGCACAGCGGCACACAAACCCACAGGAAAATGACACAGGGACCTGCAGAGATGCACAGTCACCGAACACCCACAAACCCACCAGTTGTTCCCTGAGCATCTGTCACGGACCAGGCGCTGCTCTGGCTCTGGGGACACGGGATGGGATCCCTGCCCTCCTGGGGCTGACATTTTAGTGAGGGGGCGGCCATAATCGATGACAAGCAGACGCCAGGCACCCACAGTGACACTGACAGATGCCAGAAGCCCACGTGCACTGGCTCACACAGCGACCTGCCATTCCCCACAATCCCCCTGACGCACACCCGCAGTCCCTCTGCAGCCACACAAACAGAAGCCCACAGGGGCGCAGACATGCACAGGCAGCTGACACGGAGACAGCGCCCACAGGAGCACACACCCACCTGGGCTTACGGCCCCCCGGGAACGCCCCAAATAGCCCACCAGAGTAGCTCGGGCCCCAAGCCCCCCATAGCCCACAGTAACAGGCCCACAGGCAGCTGCTGTCTGTGCTTTTGCAGACGGGTCCACCCAGGCCCAGACCTGGGGCGCCCTGCAACACGAGCCTCCGCAGAAGGGTCTGAGGTCCCATCAACCTGCTCCAGGCCCCCCACGACCCCTAACTCAACCCTGGAGCGGCTCTGACCCAACATCTGGGGGGGCATGGGAAGGAGGCCCAGGCTGCGGCCCGCTGGCTGCCCTCAGGTCTGGGTGGGACAGGGGAGCCCCTTGTCTGAGGACCCCACATGAAAGGCCAGCAGCTGGGGAGGAAGCCGGGGAGACTGGGGAGGGCGGGGTGGAAACTTGAGAGCCACACGGGTGTCCTGGCCATGAGGACCCTCCCCTGCCAGTCTAGACAGCCTGAGCCATCAACAGGACCCCATGTCGGGACCCTCATATGCAGTGTCGCTGCACGCCAGCAATGGGCTCTGTCTGCCAGGCCATGACCAACTCCACCCCGTGTCTGCCCCAAGTTCATGCACACAGAGACATATGCGCACTGGGACACACACATGGGCACAGGCACAGAGACATGCACACTGGGACACACGCACAGAGACATATGCACTGGGACACACAGAGACATGCACATTGGGACACACAAGGGCACACACACAGAGACATGCGCAGTGGGACACACAGGGGCACATGCACAGAGACATATGCACACTGGGATACAACAGAGACATGCACCCTGGGACACCCAAGGGCACACACACAGAGACATGCGCACTGGGACACACAGGGGCACATGCACAGAGACATATGCACACTGGGACACACAAGGGCACACACACAGACATATGCGCACTGGGATACACAAGGGCACACACACAGAGACATGCGCAGTGGGACACACAAGGGCACACACAAGAGACATACGCACTGGGACACACACAAGAGACATGCGCACTGGGACACACAAGGGCACACACAGAGACATATGCACACTGGGATACACAAGGGCAGACACACAGAGACATATGCACACTGGGACACACAAGGGCACACACACAGACATATGCACACTGGGACACACAAGGGCAGACACACAGAGACATATGCACACTGGGACACACAAGGGCACACACACAGACATATGCACACTGGGACACACAGGAATGCATGCCTGGACACACACGTAGGGACACACACACACAGGCATACACAGAGGCACAGGCCGCCAGGCACCCTGGAAGCTCGCACCTCTGGCCTCCGCCTGCCTCCCGCCTTCTTCTTCAACTTGACGCCAGAGCTGCTCCATCCGGCCATCGCCTGCTCATCTGGCTTCCCCAGGACCTCTCACCTCCGCCTGGACCCCAGGCCCAGGCCAGCTGCCCTGCCTTCCTAGAGCTCACGGTGAGGGTTGGGACAGGCCCTGGGTGCATGTGGCTTCTGGAAGGCTCCCCTCACCCCACTCACCCTGCCCAGACAGACCCTCTCAGCTGCGGGGTGGGGGCAGGGGGCATCCGAGGGACTGAGGACCACCTGCACCCTGCTGGGCTTCAGTCAGTGGTAGGCTCAGCCCTCCAGGAGGCCTCAGGACGCGGGGGTGGGGCCCTCCCTCTCCACCCCCTCAAGGGCCCCGAGTCCAGACGGTGAGACCAGACAGACCAGAGGCACCCCTGGCGAGCCCCGGACCTGGAGGGGACAGGCAGACAGACACCGAGGGCAGGGAGCCTGTGCAGACAGCCGCAGACAAAGGGCCACAGTCAGACCCGGGGTGGCCCCCTCGAGGCCTCACCCTCACCCCGCCCTCCTGGCTGCCCCTGTCCTAGGGAGACCCTTCACCCGGACCTCCACCCTGGTAGGTCAAGGTCAGAGTCCTCCGGGACCCAGCGGAGAGGAGGCACAGAGGGGAGGGGTGTTTTGGGGAGCCCCCCACTGCAGCCAGAGCGCCCCGTGCCTGATGGCCCCACATTCTAGCTCCGCTGTTGAGAACAAAGCTGCTGGGAGTCTGTGGTCCGAACTCTGAGTCTCACCTTCCTCACTGAAAAAGTGGGACCCTAATAATAGGGCGACGTATGGAAAGCGTTATTATTAGTAGCAGCAAGACCTCTGCTCTCCCAGCCCCGCCCCCAGACCCCTAGACGTTCTCTTGGTTAAGACGACCATCCTCAAGGCAGGAGGGCCCACACTCTTCCCCCGGAGGAGCCTGCCTACCCTGTGGGGGTGCAGCCCCGCGCCCCCAGGGCCCCGCTGGCCAGTGGGTGGACCGCGAGGAGGGTGCCCCACCTGGAGTGCCTACAGGGGCGGGAGCGGGTCGACCCGGCTGGCAGCCGAGGGCGGGCTCGGGGAAGGGCTTCAGGAGATGGGGAATTTCATGGGGGCGTGCCTGGCAGGGGTCAGGCTCTGGGGAGTCCGGTTTGGGGTCAGGTCCCATCCGAGTGGACCTCAGGGGGCCTGGGCTCCATGGGGGCGGCCATGGGGACTCTGTCCCTGGGGGTCCGGGCTGCGGGCTTCAGAGGAGGGTCCTGGGGCCGGGCTCGGTGTCCTCGGCGCTCCCAGAGCCGGCAGGAGTGGGAGTGGGGTGCCAGCAGGGGTGGGCTCTGAGGCGGGGACCCCGGGCAGGCCTCAGGGGAGCCGGGCTCTTTGAGGACTGGCTTAGGGGGCAGGGCTGATGGGGGTTGAGTTTGGGGCCGAGATTTAGAGGGAGGGGCCAGAAGTGGGTGGGCTTGGGCCCCTGGCTGTGCAGCAGTTAAGTTCGCTTGGGTGCCCCGGGGTTCACAGGTTCGGATCCTGGCACGGATCTACGCACCGCTTATCAAGCCACGCCAAGGCGGCATCCCACATATAAAATAGAGGAAGATGGGCACGGATGTTAGCTCCGCCAATCTTCCTCAGCAAAAACAAAAAAAAACTGTGGGTGGGCTTTGGCGGGGCAGGACTCTGGGGGCTGTGTTGGCTCAGGCCACCTCCGCGAGGGATGTTTTGGGGTTCACTCGAGCTCAGCACACTTGGGATCCTTGATCCTCCTTAGGGTTATGCCAAGGGGCCCTCTGGGGCTCAGTATTCCCCTCAGTGAAATGGGAGGGGACTGGTAATTGGAAATTGGAAGGCCCCTCCAGGCCGTCCTTGAGGTCCCCAGGCCCAGGTCAGGGGCGGCCTCCCCTGAGACTGTGCTTGGGGGCACCTGAGGGAGGCGCACAACTTCGCGGCCCAGGAGGGAGGAATGGAGAAGTGGGGAGGGGCGACATCTTGCCACAGCCTCTTTTGAGGCCGGAGGGTGAGCGACCCTGCACCCCCACATCCGGGCCAGGCAGCCGCGATGGCCGTGCGCTTGGGCGCTGACCCAGAGGGGCCTGAGTTCAGATACCTCAAGACCTGCAGGTGGGCCAGCCCGAGTGTCGCTCCGGTCCTCTTGCTTCTCCCCACCCAGTGGGCAAGTGACCCGCGGGCAGGGCCTGGCAGCAGTCCCTCTGGCCCCACTGCTTCCCGGCATTTGCAAAAAGTGGAGACTCTGAGCCCCCCAGCCGCCCCCAGGGCTGTTGTGATTCATGGACCATTGGGCCCGGAACACAGAGGAGCTCGCAAAAGGTATTACATTGTATTAAAATGACTTGTTTATCTCTCTGGCGATACCCCATACCCCGGGGCCAGAACCCCGGGCAGCCAGACATCTTGGGGCCACTAGGAATCCTTCCTCCGCCTCCCACGAGAGTGGTGCCGTCTGGCCTCAGTCTCCCAAAGTGACAAATGGGAGTGATCTGCACTTTCCAGGGGCTGTTTGGAGGGCTACCCCAGTAACTGAAGAAGCAGCCCAGCCGCCAGGACCGCTGCATCTTTGTAGCAAAGGCAACATCACTGTCTTCTGTTCTCATTACCCATATCTGCCTCCTGCCTTTTCCGGGTCTTGCAGAGTTGGTACCTAATAACCGCTGACTTAATGAGCCCATAGGTCCCTCCCTCCCTCCGTCCCCTCTCCTCCCTCTCCCCGTCTGGTTCCCTACACCCCACCCCCTACTCCGGGTCCCCCAGAAAGTCGCCAAGGGTTTGGGGGAACATTCAACCTGTCGGTGAGTTTGGACAGCTCAGGCAAACCATCGACCGTTGAGTGGACCTCGAGGCCTGGAACTGCCGTCCACCCAGCGCGCTCCCCGCCTTCCAGATCGGGGGCGGCCAGGGGATCCCGAGCACATCCCTTAGGCCACAGTGAAGGTCACAATCAACATTCATTGTTGTCGGTGGGTTGTGAGAGCGAAGGTCACAATCAACATTCATTGTTGTCGGTGGGTTGTGAGGACGGAGGCCAGACCCACCGGGGGATGAATGTCACTGTGGCTGGGCTGGACACAGCCTGAGGGGAATGGGATGGGGGACAGGACCCACCCTGGACTCCCCCCGCAAAGCCGCTCAGCCTGTGCCTTGCCCTGACCGCCGCCTCTCACCCCTTGGGGAGGGCTGGTGCCTGGGATTCTGATGGACCCCAGAGACATCTGCTGGATCGGGGGAGTAATCCTGGAGGGCTGGTGGGGAGGGTCACGGCGTCGGGCTGGACAGCTGACAAAGCGTGTCAACGGACTCAGTGAAGGGCTCGTGAATGAATGAATGGGGTGGGTAGGCAGTGCAGGGTGGTCTCTCAGTGTCCAAGGGGGCCCAGCTTCCTCTCCCTCCTTGCCTGGCGCCCTCTTGTCCACCTTGAACCTCAGTGCTGGCTGATCCGTCCACCTGCGGGTCTGTGCACCTGGGTGACTCAGCCCGGGGCCCAGCCTTGGGAGGGGACTGGACGGGAGGCAGGCTTTTGGGCTGCTCTTTGTGGGGCCGGTGACTTCATCCCCAGTTTGCTCATCCATTCAGTGGGCTTCCAGAGACAATGGGTGCGGAAGCCCCCTGAGGGGGACGGGAACTGGGGGCCTCAGTCCGGTCCTTGTCCCCTACCCTTGAGCCAGGCCCCATCCCCCTTCCAGAGACAGCCAGAGCATCAGCAGCGGCCCCCTCCCCAAAGAGCGCAGGGGCTGCTGGCCCTCCCCCAGCCCAGGGGAAGGAAGAAAGAAGTTACTGAGTTACCGGTTAGGACGATGCTTGTCTTTGGGGCGGGGCTTCCACACTCCTCACCCTGTGGGGTAGGGGTGGCAGGCCGCCTCCAGGGAGGGTAGGTGGGGGTGGCCCTCTCAGTGCCCTCTTGGGGGATGTGTGGCTCCAAATTGTGGGTGCCCCTGCAGCCTGGCCCGGTACCCCCTCCCCCGCAGCCCACCCCTGCAGACCATGCATCCATCCCCCTCGGCAGGTGCATTTACTGGGGAGCAGCTGCAAGCCCCCTGTGACAGTAAGGGCCCTCCCACAGCCTGCTCCTCCCCTTCATACCCCTCAGAGGTATAAGAAGGGAACTGACAGCCAGACTCCGGGTCTCCAGAGAGGGGAAGGGCGGGGTGGGGGAAGGGGAGAAGGACAAACTCTGGGCCGGCAGGGTCTCCTCTCTCTGCTCCTCCGCCTGGCACACGCTGCCCAGCCATGGGCACCTTCGACCTGTGGACGGACTACCTTGGTTTGGCACGCCTGGTGGGGGCTCTGCGTGGGAAAGAGGAGCCAGAGACCAGGGTGGACCCCCAGCCGGAACCGGTGCCAGGACCAGGGGGTCAGAGGCCCACCCCGGAATCCTCAGCAGCTCCCGAGCGGCTGTGCTCCTTCTGCAAACACAACGGCGAGTCCCGTGCCATCTACCAGTCGCATGTGCTCAAGGACGAGGCGGGCCGGGTGCTGTGCCCCATCCTTCGAGACTACGTGTGCCCCCAGTGCGGTGCCACCCGCGAGCACGCCCACACCCGCCGCTTCTGCCCGCTCACCGGCCAGGGCTACACCTCCGTCTACAGCTACACAACCCGCAACTCGGCCGGCAAGAGGCTGGCCCGGCCCGAGAAGGCGAGAGCGCAGGACTCAGGGCCACGCCGAGGAGCAGGAGCAGGAGCAGGAGCAGGAGGAGCCTGTGCAGGTGGCTGGGGACCCGCCGTGGAGGGGTCCTGTCTCAGAGGGTTGCGGGGAGAGCATCCGTGTAGAAAGCTTAGAACAGTATTCTAGAAGTGTCGCCCAGCGTGGGTAAACCGTGGCTCAAGTTCGCTGTGTGGCCTTGGGCAAGGCATTCTCCCTATCTGCGCCTGTTGGGGAGGTGCTGTCCTTTTCCGGGCAGCGGGTGATCCGGCAGGGAGGCCGTGGGGGCTAGCGGTGGGGTCTGCAGACAGGTACATCTGGGCTCCAATCTTGCTTGGCCCTCAGGAGCTGTGTGGCCTGAGGGAAGTTGTTCAGCCTTTCTGAACCCCAGCCTCCTCATTCACTCACTCATTTACCGAATAGTTTGTGTGCCTCTTCTGTGCCCAGCGCTGGGCGGGGCCAGCCGTGGACAGGTAGGGGAGAGGGTGGCAGTGAAAATGCAGGGTGACGGTGCTGCATGGGGGAGTCTAAAGGAAGCACCCCATCCGGATGAGGGGTCCAGCAGGGCTTCCTGGAGGGAGTGGCTTCTGGAAGGCCGGCTCAGGCTGGCGGAGCGCTGGAAGCACAGCCTAGGTATTGGGACTGGTGGGGGGACATGGGGAAGGTCAGTGTGTCTGCACGGAGCGCGTGAGTGTGTGTGGACGGGGGTGCCAGAGACCTGGGGCAGAGGACGGGCCTGTAGGACTGGGACTTGGGGCTCAGGGCGCCCTGGAAGGGGAAGGCCCAGGTCTGGCGTTCAGAGTGTGGCTGGACTGTGGGGACGGATCTGGGAGGGCAGCTGAGGTTGGAGCTTCCCCGAGGCCCCAACTGGCTCTCTTGACCCTACGCGGGCCTCCACCTGCGGTCACCCCGTCTAGCCCACTGAGTGCCCATTCCGACTCTGCAGGTCCGGGCCCCACCCCCCAGCACCTGCATTTCTGACCAGCCCCCGGTGCTGCCAGGCCGCGGACCACGGGGGCTCTGAGTGGCTGGCCCTTCAAGGGCAGCCGTTACGTTACAGATGCAGAGGCCTCAGCTCGCGGGGGTGTTTTTAAAAGAGAAATCCGTTCTAGCACCTTTGATTGCCTGCAGGAAAGTCAGCCAGCGGAGAGGGGGTCGGATGGGGCCCTGTCGCTGCCCCTGTGGGAACTGCCCCACCATCAGACGGTGAGCTGCTTGAGGGAGGGGCCTGGGTGGGGGAACCCCATCCCCGGGCCGCACCTGCGCAGTGAGCACGTGTTAAGAGTGAGACTGCCTCCAGGACCACGGTGTTCCTTGTGGGGTTCTATGGGGTCCAACGGGGAGACGCAGGAAGCTGAGCGGATAGAATAGAGATGATGGTCTCAGAATTGTCCTTTTTCCTTTAAGTCCGAGGGAACAGAAAGACTCGCCTCGCGGGTGTGGAGGATGGGGTGGGGGAGCCCGCCCCGCGCTGCTGGCTCAGATAGGCCGCCGGAAGCCGGCCCCCGGGTCACCGTGGGGGTCACAAACCCGGGACCCCGGGAGCGCCCAGCCGCGCCGGTCTGGGGACGTCGGGGCGCCGCGCCCGGAGCGGCCTCCAGGTGGCGCCCGAGCCGCAGCCGCCCGCGGGCCGAGCTCCGGGACCGTCAATCACCGCCGCCTCTTCCACGTTTGTCTCCTCCCCCCTGCGCTGTGAACATCCAGGTTCCAAAGGTGCCGGCAAGTCTTCCGGAGCGTCGCCCTCTTCCTGCTGTCCCTCCACTTCCGCCTAGGAGCCGGCGTGCGCGGGGTGCGGATGCTCCCTCCCTGCTGCCGGGGACTCAGGCTCGGTGGAGGCTGGAATCCCCGGAGGATGCACTCCGTGAGGACCCGCCCGGCCCCTCCGCCAGCCTGAGGGCCTGGGAGCGCGGCCCGGGGAGCCCCCGAAGGAGGGGGGTGGTCCTCAGGCCCCCCGCCCGCCCTCCCCAGCTCCGGGAGCCCAATAAACGCTTATGAGCGCATCCGCGTCGCCAGGCCCGGTCTTTGGACGGGGTGGTGGGAACAGCTCGGGGGCCGGGGGCACCCCTCCTCTCCTGGCTGCATCAGCCCCCGCGTGCTTCGACCCCCACTTTCCCCGCCCGCCCACTGGGTTTGGTTCACCCCGGGGAGCTACTCTGTGCTGAGCGAAGGGTCTGGGCCCCACCGGCGGCGCTGGGCTCCGAAGGGTCGCCCCAGCCCGGCGCCCTGAGCACGTCCCCGCGGGCTTGCCTGCGAGGCCCCCTCTGGGACGCTGGCATCCGCCCCCTTCCCCACCCTTCGCATAGAGACAGGTCCAGCGGGCAGAATCCCCCGCACTGGGGGACTCGAGCAAGAATTAGACCAAGCCATCCAGGGTCCTCACTAGGTGGCCTCCAGGGAGTGTCAGGTCACCACGGAAGCGGGTACGGAGTCACAGGCCCCTCAGGGCAAGGGAAGGCCCCTTGGGGGGCGGGGCCGGGGCGATGAAGGGGAATATGCCCCGGGGGCGAGCAGCCCAGGCCTTGGGCAGGGCGCTGGAGGCCAGCCGGGTCCGCGGGGGCCAGCGTGGGGGGAGACGGAGACCCACCCCCACCCAGGGACACCATCGGCTCTCCTGGGGGCTGTCTCCTGCACCCCACCTTGTGCCCATGGCCTCTAAGGGGCAGCAGGTGGCAGGCAGCCACCCCAGCCCCCATGGCCTCTCCTGGGTTCAGGGCGGGTCCACTCTGCCCTTGGCTTTTCCATGTGAACTGGGACCTGGGGCCACATGGGAGCAGAGCTGGGGACAGGAGCCTCCTTATGAAGACAGCCTGCCCCCCAGGCTTGGAGGGGAGTGGGGCAGGAGGGAACGTAGACAGGAGGGCTCCTTAGTGGCCCCAAGGGTCTTCGAACTGGGTTGGGGGACACAACACGCCAGCCCCTCCACTGCGTCTGCTAACTGTCTCAGCCTGAGCCGCTGGGGCGCATCCTGGTGGGTTCAAAGACAGAGCTGCACCTCCAGCCAGGAGGGGGCTGACCCCGACCCGCCATGCTTCCCACCTGAGTGGGGTCTCCCAGGGTGTAAGAAGGCAGTGGCGGCCTTGTTGGGCTGGGAGCCCGAGAGCTGAGCCACAGGCAGAGCGACCACTACAGCCGTGAGTCTGGTTTGGTCCTCCGTACGGTGGGTGACCCATTTCACAGAAGTGTCATTTTTTGTAAACTGGGTTGACAACAGCACCTGGGGCAGCTTGCGATGACGTCATCGGGCTGTGGCCAGGCCTGTGTGGGATGAGGGTGCGAGCCGCCCTGACACCCTGCAGCCACCACCCCGGGCCTGCCTCAAGGGCGGGGGCCTCGGGGCAGCAGCTCTTCAGCTGGACCGGTGGCCCGACGTCTCAGTGGGCTCAGTGGGCTGCTGCTCCAGATACCGGTGAGCGTGTTGCACGAGTGCATACACACATGTGTACATGAGCATGCCCGCACACAGCCACCTGCTCCTGGTGAAGCCAACAGACTTGGTAACTTGGGGGACCCCTGACCTGTGTCCTAGCAGAGCCCCACCCGCCTTCCCAGAAGGAAGGGGAGTGAAGGGGGGGCGTTTGTGGGCGAATGTGGAGGAAGTGCAGAGCCCCAGACAGCAGGGTGGCGTTTATTAACGGGCCTCGGGAAAGAAGACATAAAATGGAAATGGGGCAAAGAGGAGGCACAGCCAACAAAGGGAGCCCTCTTCTCCTCAGGGACAAAACAAATTCTGAACCTCTCGTGACCTCCGCCAAGGAGTGAAATTTGCAAACCCAGATAACCAGGTGACTTCCTGGGGCCCCGGCTGCCTGCTGCCACCTTGGGCCGGGCGGGAGGAGCAGCTCCCTGCCTTCAGCTGCCGCCTGTGTCTCCCCAGGGACCCCGGCTTCCGGGTTGGTGGAAGGCCAGTTCCTGGGCCCCTGGGGCATCCTGGAGGGCAGCAAACGCCAGAGGGCGCAGGCGTGTGGGCCTCCAGGGGTCTGGGGAGAGGCGGCTTCCAGCTGTTTGGCAAGACCCACAGGCCCTCTGGGGCCGGCCGTGCGGTGGCGAGGGGTCCGCACACGCACACCGCGGCCTACACATCCCTCCAGGACTGCTCCCCACGGTGGAGGCCGCCCACCGCCTTGGCCGTGCACGGCGCTGGGCCTTTCCTGGCCGGCCTCGCCCTCCGCGAGGGCAGGCGCCTGATGGCTTCCAAGTCCCGGTGGGTGCTCATGACCAGCCGGCTGTGGGGACACACAGGCAGGAGGTGTGAGGCCCACCTCTGCCGCGGCACATGCTCACGCACTCTCCCAGGCACACACACACGCACGCACGCACGCACGCCAACCAGAACCCCCTGTCCAGGGCAGACCGCCTGCCGCAGTGCTCAGAGCCCCGTGGGCCACGGCCCAGGAGCTGCGTGCTTACAGAGCCCCTCGCTGGGGCCCCGGCCTGCCTGGCCTGCCCGCTGCCCCCCCCCCCCAGGCCCCACCCTTACTTCAGGTTGGAGAGCTCGAGGATAAGGCCGTGCACCGTGTCCGTTGCATCCTCCATCCTGGCAGCTTCACAGGCCTTGACCCCGCAGAGGGCCCTGGCGGGAGAGGAGGAAGACGAACAGCCTGACTCCGTGGACGCTCGGCCAGCTCCAGTCTGGGGCTTCTGCTGGGCCCCGAGCGGTCTTCTCTTCCAGACGTTACCCCAGGCCCACCCAGCCGGCTCTACTCCAGAGGCACACCCCGGATCCGGCCTCTTCTCCCCATAGCCGCCGGGTTCCCGGCCCCAGCTCCTGGCCCCTACGGCCTGTCCCCATGCCGCATGGGGGCTGAGAACAGGGGAGCCCTCCCGGAGGCCGCACACCCTCTGCAGCACCTCCAGACCCCCCTCTTGTTCCCCTTCCTGCCCATCCAGCCACGTTCCCAGAGTACCTCTTAGGCTCTGGAATGTTCCTTCCCTAATGCCTCCTCCTGGGGGAAGGGGGCCTTCCCCGATCACCACGGGTAACAGTTTAACCCTTTCCCGCTCTTTCCTCTCCCACGCTCCGCCATCTGTCTGACTTGCTTGTCTGTCTCTCACTGCCCACACCTGGCCCACCACCTCCCCAGAGCCCAGAGCAGCACCTTCATATCCACAGGGGCGTATGGGCCGTGGCGCCCACTGAAGCCAGCATGTCCGGCCTGCGGACACGGGCAGAGGGTCGCCCTCCTGGCCTCGGGTCAACAGCTCTCCCCACGGCCTCCCACTGTGGGCTCGGCAGTGACCCCCCCGGCTGTCACTATAGAAACTCCAGTTCTGCTCCACCTGTCGGTGTCACCCTGAGACAGCTGGCTGGCTGGGCCTTAGCCTCCTGAGTGTCTCATTCAGCCACAGGCCACCAAACCCCAGGACCCGTCCATGTGGAGTCGCACGGCCCAGGGAGGCCATGGGGTCTTCCTCTTTGCTCAAATGACAACGAGGCCACCTTGACTAAATTGCCTCTGGCCTACGCACGGGGTGTGTGTCAGCAAGTGTACAACAGGTGCTAGTCACAGACGTGTGTGCAAGGGCAAGAGGTGGGCACACGGCCACTCTCTACCTCGAGGAGGAGGAGGAAGGGACAACCTCAGCCAAGGATGCACACCCAGTCCTCCTCCATACCGGCCAGGCGGAAAGAGAACCTGGGCCATAAATAATCCATGAGTCGCGGCCTCTGCAGAGCAGCGGGTTCAAGTGCGCAGTGAGAGGAGAGGAGGGCCTGGTGCTGGCGGGGCGGGGCTGAGGGAAAGGACACAGGAGGAGGAGATGCACCCGGTGGCCTGCACGAGGGAGAGAGGAGGCCGCTGGGGGCGCGGAGCCAGGCGGGAAGTGAGCAGACAGGACAGGCGCAGACCCTGGAGGGCCCGCTGGGTGCCAGAGCTGGGACTGGCCCCAAGGTCTTCTCGGCCAGCGGCTCCTAGCCATCTGGGTCCCCTCCCCCTCTGTAGAGATCAGGGAAGGCTCTGGACTCTGGACCCTCTCTTCAAAAGACTCATGTACGTGCATCTAAACCACCTACAGAACAGGGCGGTGGGGGGGCCCAGGGGAGAGACACTGGTTTGGGTGCAGACCACTGGTCACCAGGTCCCCACTTGCAGGGAGCAGGGGACACACTGGGAGCCCGCAGGGCCGGGGCTCGGGGCTGCAGGGGCTCGGGGCTAGGAGGGCAGCGACATCTCCCAGCCTGCTCACCTCAGCTGCGCCCCAGTGAGGGGTCCCCCGTCAGCACGTGGGCCTGGGCCCGGCCAGCAAGGGGCCAGCCCACTCCCCACAGGAAACAACTGGAAAGAGAGAGCACACGTGTGAAGGCCCAGCTGAGCGAGCCCTGCACGGGGAAGGAAGAGCCGCAAAGGACAGGCGGCGCCCTGCTTCCCCTCAGCCACACCAGGAGCGCCAAGCCGGGCTCCCGCAGGGGAGAAGAGCTGTGGGGGAGGGACCCGGGGTGACCAGCTCCCCGAAAGTGGGCAGAACAGGGCAACGCTGAGCCCGCCCTGAGTCCCCGCCGGGCCTGCGCCTTCTGATAGGCTGACCCGTGCAGGTGGGTGGCTCTGTGCACACACTCTGCCTGTGACAGGTGGGCACGCGCTCTGCCCACGGTACCCAGAAGGGCACAGAGAAGACCCCGAGCGGTAGTGCCTGCGGCATCCGGTGGGCATCTGGCATCAAGGGGAGGAAGTCGGACAAACAAGCCATGTGTTTCACGTCAGGAAAAGATTTTGCAGCTCGATTGCGGGGGGAAACTCCTAATTCACACGAGAGAGGGCCAGACAGCCCTGAGGGGCTCATGTCCAAATGCTGGGGCGGTCTGGTTTCCGAGGGAAACGTCAAGCCCAACCACCGAGGTGACAGGCGTCCCTTGGAAAAGAGGCGCAGAGGCTGGGCAGGGGGCCGCCCAGGGCTGTGGGGCCTCTTCTGAGGGGACCAGTGTCCTGGGGGAGGGGCCTGTCCTAGGGACGTCCTTCCAGAGCAGAGCCCCTTTCCTCTGAGGGGTGGGGATGGGATGAAGGACTGAGTTCCACCTGCCAAGGGCCCCTGAACCCACAGGACCAGACACGGAGAACTGTGGGGCTCACCGGGGACCACTCTGCCCAGGGGACGCTTCACAACGTCTGGAGACAGTCTTGGTTGAAACAACTGGGCAGGGGGTGCTACTGGCATTGGTGAACAGGGGCCAGGGGTGTGCCCAAGCCCCCACAGGGCACAGGACAGCCTCCCCAGAGAAAGATCCGGCAGGCACGTGGCTGGGAAGCCCCTGAAGACAACAGTGTCCCCACGCATCTGGCCGCTCCACGCCGCGACTCTGGGACTCTAACTGCCGTCCCCGCCACACGCCCACCCAAGTCACTGCACCCTCCTCAGCCTGAGCGACGTCCTCCCTCCCAGCAGGCACGGTTGCCCCCGAGGGTTCCAGTGGCCCTGGGGCAGTGTCCCATCCTAGGGGAGCCACTGGGACTCCCCGTGAGGGGCCTGGGTCTGAGACAGGCCTGTCACCACTGGGTAACCTCGCATGTCCCCGGGTGGCCCCTCTGCAGCGGGGCTCCCGTGGTGTCACGGTGGGGCGGGGTCCAGGGCCTACAGGTGGAAGGCCTCGGCGCTCCATCCACCTGCGCTCTCTTCCCGAGTCCCCGCCCACACAGCCTTCCAGCCAGGGCCCTCCGGAACCTTCCCATGGGAACCTGCCGCGCCCGGGTCGCCCCGACTTGTTCAGGAACGCCCAGTGTCAAAACAAAACGCGCCTAGCGTTGGCGGCTGGGTCAGAGCAGTGCCTCCTGGCCGGCCTGGCAGGTCTAATACCGGCCACTGCCCAGCCCCACCCCGCACGTTCCTTGGGGTCTACAGGCCTTGCTGCTCTGCCTGCTGGCCGCCACCTGGGGTCCCAGCGCCCTCCCAGCCTTCTCAGCCGCTGCCCCAGAGGCCAGGAACCGGGGGACAGACGTCTCTCCTCCCCCAGCGAGGGGTCTGCACATCTCACAGGACGAGGTGCCCACTATGAAATGCCAGCGGTGCCCATCCCAGACCTGTGGTGAGGGGCACAAAATGCCCTCTGGGAGAGCCACCGCCTCACGGGGACAGGGACCTGCTAGGCAGAGAACAGGTTCCCCATGAACGTGTACTGAACAAATCCTCTAACACATCTCAGCGGGGTCCCTGTTGCGCCCCTCTGTCTCCCCTGGAGAAACAGAGGTCAATGTTTCTGACGGAGCTGGGCTCCACGGGCCGGGCCAACCCGGGCGCAGATGCAGCCGCCTCCCCTCCCTCTCATCCCCTCGGGCAGGTGCCCGTCCTCCTGTGGCCTCGCCTCGGAGCCACACCCAGTGTGTGCAGAGGGAACAGCAGCCTCCCTCCCGGGCCGGGGCCTACAGCCGCACACACTCAGCCCAGGCTTCGTGCGCCAGCACAGGGACATGGTGCTTCCCCGGGGGCGGGCCTGCCACCTGCCCCCGACAGGGGAACGCCCACGGCGGGGAGGGGAGGCCCAGGCGGCCGCTCTCCCACTGCCCGTCAGGTGGGCAGACCCCTGGAGGAAGCCAAGCCAAGGCCCTACAGATTCCAGCAGGAAAACTACATGCCACACGCACGTCTGAGAAAGAACTGTATCGGGCAAGTGACCCTCAAGACGGGCGAAGGCTCTTTCCAGTTACGGAGCGAAGTCCCCTCCCCCAGGCCCAGCTCTGAGGTCACTGGCTTCCGCGGTTGCCCCTTTCGGTCTGGTGCCCTCCACAGACCCCGGGGAACCGTGGCCGGGCCAGGCCGGGCACTGACGAAGCCCGTGGGGGTCACTGCCCCGGCCCCTCAGCTCCCCGCGGACAGGCCCGCACAAAAAGGCTGGTCTGCCTTTTCTGGAAAATCACTGTGTCCACACCCACCGAAGCTGTGACTCGGACCACCAGACCCGTCTGTGTCTAATCAGATCACCGTGTGCCCATCTCCCCGACCTCTGGGCGGTTTGGGGGAGGACTCAAGACCCCTTGGTGGCTGCCTGGGGACAGGAAGCTCTTACCTGTGCAGGTGGGGCTTCAAAGTCAGGGCCTTCCAGGGCGGCCCGCATCTGGCTGTCGGGCAGGAAGTCGAGGTCCACGGCCAGGGACCCTCCCCAGAACTGGTCTGCAGAGTCAGGAGGGTCCTCAGGCTGGCCTGTGGGGTCTCTGGGGCCGTCTGGGCTGCCCTGAATGACCCCCATCTCCTGAGTCAGGCCACCCACGGCTCCTCTGTGCGCTGGTGGTGTGGACGCCCCCAGGTCTTGTTTGCGGCTCCGTCTGCCTGACTCGGGCTGCCACAGCACCGGCGGTGCACACACACCTCCCAGCCCCTCTCCATCCGGGCCCGGCCCCAGGGTCTGATGGACACCTGGGCCCGCTTCTTGGACTAGGGGACTGGACTCTCCAGCACCTACTGTGGGCGCTTGGGTCCCCTGAGCCAGAGGCAGGCTGGCAGCAGGGACCCCCGGGATGTCACCAGGGGGCTCATCTTCATGCCCTGCCTCCCCTCTGCCTCGCGTGGTCTCCTGGGTGACAGGTGTGCCTCTGAGCAGGGCCCCACCGTGGCCTCCTTTGGGGGCCTTCCTGCCTGGAGAGGCAGGTGCCCCACCCGGCTTGGCCACCTCTGGAGCCCTCTGCTCTGGCTCAGCGGGGTCTGTGCTCATGGCTGTGACGACAACGGTCCCGAGGGAGGAGGGCCCTGGGCTGCCGCAGCTCTGCTCTGTTTCCCCACCAGCCCCACTGGGGGTCTGCACAGGGTCAAGGAGGCCCCGAGGGGCCGGGCCGAGGACGCCACCTCCTTCTTCCTGGTGCCCCTCAGGCAAGTCAGCCCCTGCTCCCCCTGGGGCACCTCCCTCCTGGGGGGCGCCTGGGTCTGGCTCCTTCTCTTCAGCATCAGTGCTCGGCAGGTGCCCTTTCTGGCCGTGCTCGCCCAGAACCCCACTCGGCTCCGTGCTTCCACCATCTGGTGCGCTGGCGCTTTGCTCCCACAGGTGGCCCTGGCTGGCCCTCTCTGAGGCCGAGACCACTGTCCCCCATTCTGCACAGGCATCGGTGGAAGCTGAGGGCTGAGGATCCCCACTGCGGGGCACAGGCTCCACGGCACTTTGGCTGCTGTGCTCAGGGCAGGCGCTGTCTGCCTGGGTCTGGTCTCCCAGCTCCCCGGCCGCACGGCTCGAAAGCCCCGGGGCCTCCTCCCGCGGCTGGCTGTCTGCCTCCTGGGCACTGGGCTCTGGCAGTGTTTCCTGTGGAGAGAAAAAGACTCAGCTTTGGGCCTTCCATAAGCAACCGCTCTGAAGATTTTTCTAGTCATTACGGCCCTTCTACAAAGAATCAGATGCTGCGCGGACGACAGTGCCCCCAAACGGGTTCAGCACCAGCGCCGAGTGGTTAGAGCCAGGGCTGGGGGAACCGGAAGCACAGGGATCCCTCCTTCCATCAGCTCCTTCTCCCCGCCAGCCCCAGGCACGTGGAGGCCGCTGGGAGGATCAAGCATGTAAACATCAAGGAGGCCTGTGGCTCCAGCAGTGTCAACTGCCCGGTGATGACGATGGGCTACAGTTACACAAGTTGTCACCACTGGGGAAGCCGGAGGAGGGCACGCAGGGAGCTCTCTGTGCTGCTCTGTTTTTAATTGTGGTAAATACACGTAACATAAAATTCAGCATCTTGACCATTTTTAAGTGTCCAGCTCAGTAGCATAAAGTACATCCACACAGGTGTGCAGCCGTCACCATCATCCCTTCTCCAGATCTTTTTCATCTTGTACAACTGAAACTCTGGCCCTGTGGACCAACCACTCCCCACCAACCTCCATCCTACTTTCTGTCTCTACGAATTTGAGTCCTCTGGGGGCCTCACACAAGTGGAATCATACAGTATCTGTCCTTTTGTGACAGGCTCATTTCACTGAACGTGATGTCCTCCAGGCTCGTCCATGTTGCAATACCTTTTTAGGCTGAGTAATATTCCTTTTTAAGGCTGAATAATATTCCTGCGTGGATGGACCACGTTGTGTTTACCCAGGCATCCAGCGATGGACCCTCGGGTCCATACTGTTTTGTAACTTTCTATGAGTCTCTATTTCAAGATGCAAAGTTAAGAGAGAGAGGGAGTAGGGGGGAATGAAATGCCCCTGATGGAGGTGGGGGTGACGGGAGCAGGCTGGGGGAGAGGAGGATTCTGGCTGGGACGCAGATTGAATGCCATCCCTTAGGCAGATGGCACCTCGATCCTTCCAGTGGCGCAGACCTCCCCACTTGGAACTCACTGCAGCCAGATCTCCCTGACTCTCGGCACGTGCACCTGACATTTCCACCCAGCGTGTCCTTGTCATCTCCAACCTTACGCGGCCAGCACCAGCTCCTGCGCTCCCTACCTCAGTGAACGGCAACTCCATACTTCAAGCTATTCGCGCCGTAAACCCTGGAGTCCACCTGCGCCTCCCGGCCTCTCACGCCCACACCGTCAGCCCTCCCTTCAAAGCGGACTGTGAACCATCAACTCAGCACGCAGCGACTGGGGACCACGCGCGAGGGTGCCCTCCAGACAGCGCGGCTCCCTCGCTTCTCTGGGACAGTTGTCAGCACTAGTGGGACGCCTCCTCCAGTTAGCTCTCTACACCCAGCAGGGCCACCCTCTCCAGGAGGAGGTCTGCACAGCAAGTGTCTGGCCAGCGAAGGTCACAGCGGGTCAACGCGCCTCAGTGAAGCCACTGGCGACCAGCCTGCGAGTCACACACTGCCTGTCCTGCCTCGACGGAGAAGACACTGCCCCCTTTTCCTAAACGTTTTGTGAGCGCATCGTAGATTCACATGCAGCTGGAAGGAATCACGGGGAAAGATGCCCTGGGCCCTTCACCCACGTCCCCACTGGCAACATCTTCATAACTCGCGTACAACACCATGACCAGGATGCTGACATCAAAGTCACCGGCCTTCTTTGGCTCTCCGGGCGGACTTGGACTCATTCACGTGTGGCACTAACTCTGTACACGTCTCTCACCAGCGGAGGCTGTGTGTCTGCCACAACAGCTGAGATCCTGGGACGCTCGCCCCGAGGACCCCAGTGCTGCCCTTCGCGGCCACGCTCGCCCTCACTGTTGGCTCCACACCTGGTGGCCACGAGTCGCCCCCCGTCTCGATAACTGTGCCATTTCAGTAACGTCCCATGAATGGAACCCTGAAGTCTGTAACCTTCTGGGACTGGCTTTTCTCACCCCTAGCAAAGCCCTGCAGATGCGCCCCAGCGGCTGCGTGCCTCACCAGTTTGTCCCTTATCTGCTGCTGCTTTGGGCTCCATGGCGGGCATGGACCACGGTTTGTTCTACTGGTCACCTGCTCAGGGATATCTGGGCTGTCCCCAGTTTGGGGTGATTCCAAACACAGCTGCTGGGAATGCCCACCACTCACGTTTTTAGGGGCATGTGCGACCCCCTGAGCTCACGGTGGACAGGACAAGAGCATGCTGTACGGCCCCCACCGCCGACTCACACAGCAGGGCTGGGGGCCCAGGGCTGGCGGGCGGGCGGCCTTCCTGAGTCTCCCTGCTCTCGCGCGGCCCAGGCAGGGGCTCTGGCCTTGGCCCTTCTGCAGGCCCAGCTGTCCCGAGCGCTTCTTGCAGGCCAAGCTCCGCTGCCAAGCCGGGGCCAAGAGGCCATGCACCCACGGGCTCCGCCTGGCCCATCGTAAGGCCTTACCGAGCCACAGGCCCCGCTGCCAAGGTCCTCTTCCCTCATGGCGGCTTGTCTCCTAACTGTCCTCCTGGGCTTTGCAAACTGAGGGACGAACCTCCCAACTGAGTTCTGTGAACCAGAAACAAGAACAAAGCAGCAATAAGGACAAGGGAGGAGTGAGAGCCCCAGAGAGCCAGACATGAAAGCTGGGCCCCTGCCCGGCAGCCCCGCACACACTCACGGTCCCCTGCCCTGAGCAGCTGTTGACCCTGAACAGGGACAAGAACTCCGGCTTCGGGAGGAAGCTCTTCTGTGCAAACACAACTACGAGTAGGCTCACCTGGGAAGGGGGAAAGGGAGCTGGCTCCTCGTCGGGTTGCCCCAGGAGCCTGGAGGGAGCTCCGGCCTCCTCTTCAGGGGAGCTGGTGGAGAAAGACAAAACGGAGGAAGTTCTGAATCCTGCACCTCAAAGACAGACAGAGAAGGAATCCAAAGACAGAGTTGTGACAGAGGCCCCTCTAGGAGAGCCTGGAGCCCCTGCCGAGGGGGTGGGGAGGGTGCAGCCCCCACAATGCTGGCCCCCAGGAAGGGTGCGGAGGCCCACATCCAGGGCTGCACTGCCGCCCTGGCAGCACTTCCGTCCTCATCACCCAGGAGCGCTCCAGCGGGAGGAAGAGGACAGTCATCTGGACTGACGCTCCAGCCCCCAACGCTGCAAAGGCTAGAGGGAAGCCGTGGATACGAGAAACATGGTGTCTAACGAACGGCTGGGGCTGGCCTCTTGGCCGAGTGGTTAAGTTTGCACACTCTGCTACGGCGTCCCAGGGTTTCCCTGGTTTGGATCCTGGGCAAGGACATGGCACTGCTCACTGGGCCACGTTGAGGCGGCATCCCACATGGCACACCTAGAAGGACCCACAACTGGAATATACAACTATGTACTGGGGGACTTTGGGGAGAAAAAGCAGAAAAAAGAAAAAAAAGAAGATTGGCAACAGTTGTTAGCTCAGGTGCCAATCTTTAAAAAAAAAAAAAGAATGGCTGCATTCACACCTGCCAAAACGTGGAAGCCACTAAGACGTCCTTCAGCAGGGGAATGGATCAATAAACTGTGGTCCACCCCGGCAGTAGGACAGGATCCAGCGAGGAAAAGGAATGGGTGCTCGAGCCAGGAAGGAAGACGGAGGAAGCGAAACGCACGTTCCTACATGAAAGAAGCCAAGCCGAGAAGGCGACGCACTGTAGGCCACTACTAGGCGACATTCTGGAAAAGGCAAAACTATGGGGATGGTGTGAAGATGAGCGGGTGCAGGGGTGGGAAGGGAGAGACAAACGGGCGAGGACTCTGAGCGCGTGAAATACTCTGGATGGTGTTATAACGGTGGACACGCATCATTACACATTTGTGCAAACCCACAGAACGGACACCACCAAGGGGGAGCCCTCACGTCAGCTCCGGCCTCTGCGGGATCAGGATGTGTCCGTGTGGGTTCATCCTTGGTAACAAACGTGTCATTCTGGTGAGTGAGGATGACAGTGGAGGCCGAGCATGTGTGGGGCACAGGGGGATACAGGAAATCTTGTACCTTCCTCTCAATTTTATTGTAAACCTAAAACTGCTCTAAAAAAATAAACGGCTCTTTAAAAAAAAAACAACTGGTGAGACTTATGGCTATATCTAAATAAATGTGGATGTGTATATTGTAAAAAAAGATCAAAATCTGGAACTGAAACTTTCATGATTTCAACTTTGGAAGTGGAGAAGGAAGAAGCGTGAAGACGCGCCGATGGGCTCGAGCTGTGCCAGGGCGTGTTCCAGAGACAGATCAGTTTAGATCCTGAGAGCGACAGTCTGCTCCACAATTTCTAATTGCGACAGGTTGTTTGGGCGGCTCCTGGAAAATTTCATTTCTCAACATGCATTTGTTAAGCTGATTTGCTTTATGTTGTTTTTTTTCTGTTATATTTCTGTGCATGTGATCCTTCTTAATACAGTGTTTAAAAAACAACAAGGCCCGGCCCGGTGGCGCAGCAGTTAAGTTCACATGTTCCGCTTCTCGGCAGCCCGGGGTTCGCCAGTTCAGATCCCAGGTGCGGACATGGCACCGCTTGTCAAGCCATGCTGTGGCAGGCGTCCCACATATAAAGTAGAGGAAGATGGGCACGAATGTTAGCTCAGGGCCAGTCTTCCTCAGCAAAAAAGAGGAGGATTGGCAGCAGATGTTAGCTCAGGGCTAATCTTCCTCAAGAAAAAAAACAAAACAACAGAACAAAAGAGGGTGGGAACCCATTCCAGTGGAGTCTGACTCTTCTTGTGGACTAGGTGGGCTGTGGCCGAGATCACACCGGCCCTGTGGGCGTCTCCAGGGGCACAGCAACCCTGTCATGTCTGTTTGGAGAATGGCTCAGATGTGACACATGGCCCTCTCGTCACATCACACACACTGCAGGGCCATCCTCAGTCCTGAGACTGCAATGATCTGAGATCAGACATGCACCCACTCCCAAAGAAAACAGTTCTGTCAGCTGGACGACATGCCTCAGCTTTACTCAGAAAATCTGTAGCCCCAGCCGTGACGCTGGCAGGGGCCGCTCTTCTCCCAAGTCCCGCTCACCCTTCCTAGTCCCCTAGAGATACACGTGGCTTAACCCTGTCGGCAGACCAAACTGCTCTCCAGGTCTTTCTTTTTTCCCACTGTGCTTACTGACATATTTCCTGAAAAAATGAGGGAACCGGGAAACCACACTGGTTAAGAGCACAGGAGCCAGACACTGCCAGCTCAGACACAGCCTCGCGCCAGCTCAGTGGCCTTGGCAAGTCACCTGCTCTCGAAGCCTCAGGATCCTTACCAGTCAATGGGCATAAGAACTGACTTCACAGCCGCGGATCAAGTGAGCTGCTGTGTGAAGGGCTTGTCGTTAGCTCGCTGCCTGGCCCACAGTCATCGCTCTTTCTCTCTACCGGTTCTGGTTTCACAGACCCACACCTCCCTCGGGCCCTTCTTGATTAAGAAGGAATGCGGGATAAATACGGATTTGACCAGCAGACAGGACACAGAGTTGCATTCTGTAACTAAGTGACCTTGGAAGATGGAAGGTTTTCCTAGCCTGTGGTTAAAATATCAAGCTTTCTCACCAGAGAAGAGAGCCCCAGGAAGAAAGCAGCGAGAAGCTTGATCATGAGAGCCCCAGGAAGAAAGGTGCAAGGGCCCTGAGCCCCAAGGGAGGCACAGCAAGGGACGAGCCATGGCGGTCCCTCCCCTTCGCGTCCTATCTACTGGCTGCTGTGCTGTGCTGTCCGTGGGGTTGCTGGAAAGTTCTGAGCCACCTACCTGGAGGCCGACTGTTCTGGTTCCTCCCGGCTCTGCTCTGCAGAGGGAGCCTGTCCAGGGCTGCCTTCCAACTCTTCAGGGTGAGGCACGTGGCCCACCTGGGAACTCCGGGGGGCCCCGGCAGAGTCTCCTAGCCTCGGGTTCTTTGGGGGTCTCGGAGTATGGATTCCTTCTCCTCCTGCTTAGAGACAGTGGGGGATGAACGGGTGAGGTACCACGGCTGACAACCCAACGCGGCAGGACCCCTGCTCCAACGCTCGCCTGGAGAGCCAGCTCGGGCTGGAACCTCGTCCAGGAGGTGGTACGTGGGAGCTTACGAGGCCATTTACCTGCGGCCTGGCCACGGCTGAGGCTGACCCCCAAGGTGGCCTGGCCTGGCTCCCAGCCATGTGAGATACCCTGGCCCAGCGACGTTCTCTCTGGGGAAGTGGCGGGAGGCGTGTGCTGGCTCCTGCAGGTCTCAGCCAAACATCCCTGCAGAGGGGCCACCCTGACTCCTCTCGAGAGCACCCCCATGCAGGCCCATGCTCTCTTCTCTTCACTTCACAGCTTTCCTGTGAGCACCCCGTGTCCTGGGTCATTTTCTGGCTCTCCCGCTACGACCTGCTGCACACGGGGAGGGGCCTCGTCTGTAGGTTCCAGGCTCCCACAGGAGCATCTAGCCCATCTCTCCCGGGAGACGCAGATGGGACTGAGCTATGGACCCTCTAGTTTTCCGTGATATCCGCAGAGCATCCACCCTGGGAGAACTGGGACCCCAGAGGCAGAGTGCCATGGAGGCGATGTCTCAGGCACCTCCTGGTCCCTTGCATGTCTGCGCTACCTTCCCCATCACCGAGAGCAATTTAGAGCCTAAAGGCGCTTATTAACACCTGTTTGTTGAATGAAGGAAACTGCCTTACACAGAACCTGCCCACGGTGCCTGGCTTGTCAGATCTGCCTGCGTTCAACCCAACATAGTCACCGATTCAATAAACAAACGCGAGTCCCATGCCAGACAGGGTCCCGAGAACCTGGCTGTGCTGGGATAAAACTCCGAGGGAGGGTCCTACTGTCGCGCTCATTTTATAGATCAGAAAGCCAAGGCACGCGGAGGCCAAGGAGTCTGGAATGGGACCCAGGCAGTCCAACTCGAGCCTGCACACTCAAGTCTACCCGAGCATTTATTGAGCACCTACTGTGTACTGTGCTTCTCAATACAAAAAGACAAGCCAGACCAAGGCCTGCCCCTCCTGGGGTTCAGCAGGTAGACCCCTTCCAACCTCAGCCCTTACACACTTTGAAGTGAACTCATCGAAGGGCCCCTCCTCCTACACCGAGTGCCAGGGACCTCCTCAGCGCTGCCTTGGCTGTGGCACTCCACCAGGCTGCACACAGCGCCCTTCCCATAATCTCCTCTAGTCGCAGCGATACGGCTCGTGAGCGCCACACAGAACTTCACTCCGCCGCAGTGTACGTGAGCAGCTCTCTCCGGGAGCAGCCTTGTTCTCTCTCCCCAACGAGACCTTGAGGGGGCTGGGGGCAGGAGCCGAGTCTGCTGCACCCCGATCTCATGATCGTGCTGGCCCCGAGCGAGGCTCCCACGAACGTTTGTTTTGTACACAAACACCCTCCCACCTTGTGGTTTGCCAAAAAAGGCAAACCAGAGCAGCTTTGTTTACTGGGTTTCCTAAGATGCCCCAACGCTAGCGCGCTTTGCTCATCCAATGAACACGTGTGCCAGATAAAAAGCACCAACATCAACAGAAGTGAAGGGCTTCCCATTTCCTTCCTGTGATCTGTCCCCACAGGACTCATTTAAGAGAAATGAAGGCTGACCCTTGTGTTCCACAGCAAAGGCCAAAGACGCCTCTTTCACCACCTGCCAGAATCATCTTCCTCTCTCCCCACCCCCGCCAGGACACACAGAAACTGCTGTCTCGGGCCAGCCCGGGGGGCCCCTGAGCCAGGGGGTCCCTGCCAAGAGAGGCCCCGATGACCTGCTGTGGGTGGGCCTGGCTGTCCCCAGCTTCCCCCTCTGAGGTCAGAGAAACTCCTGTGCCTCCAAGCAGCCTGCTGCTCATCTCTGCACAAAATATTTTCCCTCCGTGGGTAATTTATTTTCTATCCCACATCTTGGGAAAAAAAAGGAGTGCTACTCACTAAGTGCCCTAAGCATGCAGTAAGGAAGTCATCTCTAAACTTTCGAGAAGCTGAGGTTATCTTAGATGCTAATAAGGAAATGGAACCATGCTATGTAATGTTAGGTGTTTTCTTCTGGAAGGAGGAAATTCTATACATATGTTGACAAGTGAGGGAAATCTGATCCACCAGGAAGTGGGAACGGAGGGTGCAGCACAGGACGTGCAAGGATGCGATTTCCCGATAAAAACACGGATCGTGCACACGCAGAGGAGGCTCCACCGTGGCAGTGTGCTGAGGGTTGCTTCCTGGCCTTGGACGCCATCCCATTCAGCTGATTGCTCTCCTGGGCCAGACCTCAGCGTTGGGGGAATGGGGGAAGGAGAGACAGAACTCAACTATTTTTTGCAACTTGTCTGTAAGCCCCAAATTATTCCAAAATGAAAAGTTTTTGTAAAAGCCTGGAAGGGCAATCGTGACAGCAGTACACGTGGGTGTCCCCCATGGGGTCTGTTCTCAGCACTTCACAAACACGAGCCCACACGTGAGCTCGGGGGCCCGGTTCTCAACCTCGGCACCGAGGGCACTTGGGGCTGGATCATGCCGTGTCATGGGAGACAGGGCCATCCTGTGTGCAGTAGGATTTCGAGCAGCACGGCCCTGACCCATTAAAGCACAGTGCCACCCCCCACGCCAACTGTGCAAACCAAATACATCTCTAGACGCTGCCGAATTCCTCCCCCACCAGGCTGAGAATCACTGAAGGAAAGGGGAGGTACTCTTATTACCCCGTATTTACAGACGGAGGAAACTGAGACCCAGAGCGAGCCATCTGTGGCACGCAGAGAGCAGGAGAGCTGGGATGAAGCCCGGTTTCGGTTCAAAAGTGAAGCACTTAGCCACACACCAGGTGGCCTTGCAGCCCATCCAGCCCTACTCGGAGGTCGTCTTCGAATGGGCCCTCAGCGAGGGGCACCACACCCCGAAGCCTGCACCCCGCCCCCCCCCACCAGCTGTGAGACCCCCCGGGGCTGGAGGAAGCTCCACGAAGCTTTCACTTTTCCCTGTGTGCACGTCTTCGTAATTTAGACTTTCCTCAGCGGCGCATATTAGGGCACTGCTTTTCTCTAAAAGAACCTAGTATGGTCACCCAGCCCTTCTGCCAGGACGGGTCTGCCCTGCAAGCAGAGGCACAATGACCAGGGTCCACCTGAATGTCCGGGTACCTGAGGTCCGCAGCTTCCTCCTCTTGGTCATTGTCTCCCTCCCTTGAGAAACCTGGAAACAACCACCAAGCACCGTGGTTACACTCAGTCCCGGCCCCGGGGACTGACCCTGCCTCACGGAGGGCACACGCCTGTCCCCACCTGGCCATTCGGGGTCATTGGGGACTCCAGAGGGGCCGCGTGGGGCCCTTCGGGGTCATCCGGGACTCCAGAGGGGCCGCCTGGGACACTTCAAGGGGGGGGTCCTTCCGGCCACCCGGGCCTGGGAGGGCCGGAGTCCCTTGGGCCCGCCAGGCCCACACCGACCTGGGCTGGAGGAGGCGTCCGGTGTCGCTGTCCTGTGGCGAACTAGGCAGGTCGGCCTGGGTCTGCTGGGGAAAGTCGGTTAAATTAAATTTTCTGCATTAATTTTTTGGAGAGAACACAAATTGGCCCTCACAGGGCGGAAGGGCCAGCGCTGCGGCCCCGACTTCTGGTGACCAGGCCCACACTAACCCCACCCCAAACCCCAAAAAGTGAGGACCGCCCAGACCAAGCCCCAGACGTGAGACCGCAGCCCGTAGGTGGCCCTGGGACGCCGCCACCCCTGTCCCCCGCGTGCGCTCCGCCTCTTTCCCGCGCACTGCGAGGCTCCGCCGCGCGCATGCGCGAAGCCAGCCCCGCCCCTCACTCTTGCGCACGCTCCGCCTATTTCCCGCGCAACCTGTGGCACCGCCCGCCGCCCCGCAACGCGCATGCGCATTCGCGCACTACCTGCCGGGAGTTGTAGTTTCAGTGCGGCGGGCCCGGCAGTCCAGTGGCCGAGCTCTGGTGCCGAGGCGCCCAAAGGCCGAAGTGGAAGTGGGGCGGCGACCCCGGGGGGCGACGGAGCGGGGTCGCTGGGCGCCAGGCGCCAACAAGGGACGCGGGGTTCAAGAAGGGCGCGTGCGCGGCGATAGGCCCCGGGGGAGGAGGCAGGGCAAGGCCAGGCGAGGGGGCGGGTGGTCCGGGCGTCCAGCCTGGAAGATGCACAAGAGGAAGGGACCCCCGGCACCCCCGGGCCGAGGCGCCGCCGCCGCCCGCCAGGTGAGTCTGTACCCCACCTACCCCGCACCCCCGGCCCCGCCGGAGGAACTCTCTCACCTCCGTCACAGGTTCAGCGGCGGGCCCCACCCCCAGGGGAACCCGATCTCCAACCCCAGGTGAGCCCCGGTCCCCGCCCCCCAGATGAGGTGAACCCTCCAGAGTGCGGCCTACTGGCCACGGTTCCCCAGCTTCTGGCGCGCCACCCCGGGCTCAGGGCCACCTGTTGCCGCAGCAGCTCCACTCGGGGAGGGGAAGGCCTCGGACCTGGGGTAGGAAGGCCAGTTACTGCTCCCCGGGCCCAGCGCCCTTCCAACCCTCGCATCAGCCGGTGGCCAGGTCAGACTCTTTTGATCCCCATTGTACGGACGAGGACACTGAGGCCCAGAGTAGTGAAGACACCTGCCAAGGTCACAGGGATTAACAGCTTGGCCAGAGCTAAGTGCAGATCCAGAAGCACCGCCATGAGCCCAGAGGACTGTGCCTGGGCCCCTTCTCCGTCCCCCATCTCCTCTGCCTCAGTTGTGGGGAGAGTTTTATTTTTCTTGACTCTGATGGAAGGAGCCCAGGCTGTGGTTTCGTGCCCAGGTCTTACAGTCCGCCCGACCTGAAGTTCCCTTTTGGCTTCTGCGCATTGGACACCTGGCTGCACAGCTGTCAGCCTCAGTTTCCTCTTCTGTAAAATGGAGGCCCTAAGATTCCCTATGTCACAGACAGTTGTGAGAATTCACTGAGATCGTTTGTGGAAAGTGCTGGAACATAGCACTCAATAAGTTTTATCATTTATGGAAAGTGCTAGAACACAGCAGTCAATAAGTGTTATCGTCATCATTATTACTGTTAGATGGAACTTTCCTTAATTGCCAGGCTTTGGCCATCTTTGACCCTCAGAAGGGCGATTTTGTACAGTTCAACCTAACATTATCAGGTCATGATTGCTGATCAGCCAGGATGAACAGACAGGTCTGTTACACAGCAAAGACCCCACTTTCAACTTCTACATGTTGTCAGGGTTCTGTTTGTTCCCGATGCCTCCGCCCCTCCTGCATGACTCCCTCTGCTGAAGATGCTGGAAGGAAAAGCCCGGGTGTGCGGAGCGGCTTTGCTCTGGGATGGGGTGTGAGGCCTGCTGTGCCCGCTGACCTTGGGCAGCAGCACATCAGGACTGTGGGCTCAGAGCAGCACGCTGGGTCCCTCCACCTGCCCTTTGCCCCATGTAGATCTGTGCCAGAGGGCCTGGCCCGTCTTGAGACACCTGTGGCATTCTGGGCCTGTTCCTGCCTCCTGGTACTCCCCAGGAAATGGCTTTTCCCGGGAGCCCTGGATTCTCTTCCTCCTGAGGGGACTCCAGGTCGATCATGACTGCCTCTGGGCGGGTGGGATGCGTCCCGAGGTCTGACTGGACCCCCGCTGCTCCCGCAGCTGGGCCTGCTGGTTGACCTCTCCCCTGATGGCCTGCTGGTCCCCGAGGACGGAGTTAATGACGAGGAGCTGGAGGCTGAGTTCTTGGCCCTGGTAGGGGGCCAGCCGCAAGCTCTGGAGAAGCTCAAAGGCAGAGGTGAGACTCAACGCCCCTGAAGATCTGAGCTTTGGTGTGGGCTGGGCTCAGAGCTGGGCACCGGGGAGACGGAGCGGGGCCCTGTCCTCCAGAACCCCCAGTCTGGGGAAGAGGTTAAGCGATCAACTCTGGACCCAGAGGGAGGGTTCGAATCCCAGCTCTGCCACTTACTGGTTGTGTCACCGGATGAGTCCCAGTACCTGTGTGGGCTTCGGTTTCCCCACCTGTAAGATGGGAATCATACCACTCCTACATCACAGGAGTCAACCTCCTGGTGTTCATAAAGCCTTTCACACAGGGCCCAGCTGGTCCTCCAGCTTGCTGTCCCGTGCTCAGCGCTGGGACAGGGCACAGAGTGATGGGAGAGGATGGGTTCCCGGAGGAGGCACCCACCATGGGGAGGGCCAGGTGGAGAGTTGGGGAGGGGTCACAGCACGTGCAAAGGCCCCAGGGGAGATGGCAGGGCCAGTGGACTCTGCAGTGGCCGAGTGGGGCTGGAGCTCAGAGGGTAAACGGAGTCTTTACACTTTTTAGCTAATACAGTCAATCATCATTATTTGTGAATTCCGTATTTGTGAATTTACCTACTAGCTACAGTTTCTTTGGAACACCAAAATCACTTTTTGTGGGACTTTTACAGTCATTCACAGGCGTGTACTGAGCCACAGAAAGATAATCTCCCAACGCCATCCCCAGGCGAGGCAGAGCTCTGTCTTATCTCATCGCGTTTTGTAAGCAAGCGTCCTTTTCTCAGTCTGTTTAGTGCCGCATTTTTCTCATTTTGGTGCTTTTTGTTGGTGATTTTGCTCTTCAAAATGGCCCTGAAACATAGTGCTGAGTGCTGTCTCGTGTCCCTCAGCACAAGAAGGCTCTGACGTCCCCTGTGGAGAAATTCCATGTGGGGTGAGCTTCATTCAGGCATGAGTGACGGGGCCGTCAGCCTTGAGTTCACTGTTAACACTCAGCAAATGTAGGAAATAAGGTGTCTTTCCTTAGAAACACGCATAAAACAGGGTCTTGTATTGACCGGTTGGTGAACATACTGTGACCAGAGGCTCACAGAAACCTAACCCCGTATTTCCTCCAGGAGCCATGGTTCAGCATCCGCTAATTCGGTGTTTGCGACAACTTTATATGCCATAACGACCCTGAATAACAAGAAGATCTCAAATAACAAAGTGCTGACCATGTGCTGTTCCAGGAGCTTCATTTACCTTTAGTCCCCAAGTCTCCTAGTGAGGGAGAAACTGTTGTTTACCCCATGGAACAGAGCGGGAGATTGAGGCCCAGGGAGGACGTGACTTGCTTGGGGTCCGCGGTGGGAAGGCTGCAGTCAGGCTCAGCTCAGGCTTGACGAGGAGGAGGTGGGCGGGCAAGGCCGGCAGGGACCAGATCACACATGTGGCCCGAGGGCAGCAGGGTGCCATGCACGGCCAGGGAGGCACCTGCCACCCCGCTCCCCGATACCCTGTTCTTGGGGGCTGTGGGTGATGGGGACCGGAGGCCAGGGACTCTTGAAGGATGCTGGTCCAGCTGGGCCTCCCCTGCTGCCAGGTCCCCTGCCCATGGAGGCCATTGAGAAGATGGCCAGCCTGTGCATGAGAGACCCGGATGAGGAGGAGGAGGGCACGGACGAGGAGGACGTGGAGGCTGATGACGACCTGCTGGTGAGCGCCCTGGGTCGGGTGGGGGGCCCCCTCCTGTGGCTGTCCTGTCCTGCGGGTCCTCACCCCCAGGCCCCCACCCACTGTGTGTCCCTAGGCGGAACTGGATGAGGTCCTCGGGGAGGAGCAGAAGGCTCTGGAGCCACGCCCTCCCGTGGTCCAGGTAAGTGCCACTGGCCCTGCTCCCTATAGCCTGGGGTCCAGGCCCTCCCCTGCCCCTCGCAGCCGTGTGACCTTGGGCAGGGACAGGACAGCTGCACTGGGAACAGGGACGTGATTTCTGCCCCACTGGGGTGGGGGCAGCTGGCCCAGGGCCAACGTGCCCGGTGCGCAGTAGGCTCTCAACCGAGCGAACTCTCAGGGTCACCACCCCAACCGTGCGCCTGGCCCCTTCCACAGCCGAAGACCGTGGCCCCGGGCCCAGGCGTGGAGGCCACCTTGCAGGAGAGGCTGGCCCTCTACCAGACAGCGATCGAAAGCGCTCGGCAAGCTGGAGACGGTGCCAAGGTGCGGCGCTACGACCGGGGCCTGAAGGTGAGCGGCCAGACAGGAGGGTGGGGACCCAGCCACCACCCTGCACCTGGTCTGCGTTCCTCTGAAACCACGTTCACACCCCCTCCCAGACTCTGGAGAGCCTGCTGGCCTCTGTCCGCAAGGGCAACGCCGTCGACGAAGCGGACATCCCGCCGCCCGTGGCCGTGGGGAGGGGCCCAGCCGCCATGCCCAGCCATACCCCTGCTCCCGCCCCACCGGGCCCTCCCGCCCCACCAGCCCCGGAGCCCAGGGTGTTCGTGGAAGGTCCTCCGCTCACTGCCCCCACGTCATCTCTGGGCTTGGCTAAGCCCCAGTCGCCCTCAGGTAGGCCAGGGGCAGGGCCGGGCTGACGTGGAATGGGGATACTCAGCGGCAGGCCCCTCTGGGGGCGCAGGCACTCATTGGGTATTTTTCACACCCCTCTCCTTCAAGGTCCTCCTGCCCCTGGAGTTCATTAATACCTTCCAAGGGCACATGGGCGCACAGAGAGGTTTTTTTGTGTATGGTGTTGGTAAAATATACATAACCTACTCTTTGCAATTTTAACCATTTTTCAGTGTGTAATCGAGTGGCATTTAGCACTTCGCAATGTTGTGCAACCATTGCCTCTGTCATTTCCAAAACTTTCTCATCGCCATAAGCAGAAACTTTCCCCATTGACCAGTGGCTCCCCGCGACCCCTCCCTGGCCCCTGTGGCCTCGAGTCTACCTTCTGTGTCCGTGGGTTTGCCTGTCCCAGCATCCCAGTAAGTAGACCCAGGCAGAGTCCGTCCTTCCTTGCCTGGCTTCTTTCACGTGGCCTAACGTCGCAGCATGTGTCAGCGCTCCGTGCCCTTTTAAGGACATTCCCAGACTTGGAGTTTTGAGTGAATGATTCCCAAGCCCTTGACTTGTCTGTCTTCTCTCCTAAAACTTGCGTCTGCTCGTCGCAAGAGGTTTCTGTTGCCAACCTCTCCCTTCCCACTTGCCCTCCTCCCACTGTAGGAAGGAGCCCCCATCCCAGCTTCCAGAAGATGAGCACGGGCCTCTGCCCCGGGGCACACGCTGCCCTGGTGGGAACCAGGGAAACATCCTACATGCCGGCCTGGGGCGGAGAAAGTGGGCCCTGGCTTTCTGAACCCTCCACAGCCAGGCTGGTCTGTAAACCGTGGTTTTTGGCAAAGTTCAAAGAGGACTATTGGAGATTGTCACCTGAAATTCTCAGTTGAAATCACCACAAATGTTTCCCAGGGGTTTTAGGGCCTAGCGTGGCAGGGGCCCAGGGGAGTCCTGGGAGCGGTGGGCCCAGCCCCGACTGTGGGCCAGAAGCGCCCTGCCGGTCAGATCTTACTCCTGGCCTACAAAAACAGTGGATCACAAAGGTCACGGTGTTTAGGCTTTGCTCAGTCACGTGCTCATAGCAATTGGGACAATAATTCAACCTGGAAGAAAACTTTGTTGTGACAGGAAACAAAACCAATTAACTGCCAAGGCGTCTGGCTTCCACCTGCAGATGCCTTCTCAGGCGGGGCCGCCCGAGCTGAAAGCCCGGGTCCTGCCATCAGTCTGAGAAGCGCTGCGCGCTGCTCTCCAGGGCTGTCTAGGGCTCATGGACACTGGGCAGTGTACTGTTTTCCTTTGCCTTTTTATACCAACAGTTGTTCCTGTCGCTTTGAGCCGCGAGCGCCTGCCCCTGAAAGCGTCAAGCTTGTGATTCGAAGCTGCCTAACGTGCTGTTGCAATGGTAGCTTCATCCTCTGTTCCCAGCTTTCCGCCATGCTGCGTGGATGCATTTTGGTTGCACAAGTGTACAATAGGGTGGTCCAACAAAAACTCTCACGTACCCACATGTATCGTGTTAGGATGCAGTTCTAGAGGGATATGGATGTAAACAAAAGAAGACATGAAACTTCTGGCTGCTCAAAGTGAGGCCCAGGATAGATTTAAAGAGTAAATGTTGGTATATGCTCCAAAGAATGGAAAGCAGGGACCTGGAGAGAGATCTGTACACTCGTGTCCACACCAGCATCGTTCACAATAGCCAGAACACGGAGCAACCCAGTGTCCATCGCTGGACCAATGGGTCAACACCGTGTGGTCCGTCTATACAATAGAATGTTATTCAGGCTTAAAAAGGACATTCTGTCACATGCAACAACGTGGCTGAGACTTGAGAACATTATGCTCAGTGAAATAAGATGGTCACAAAAGGACAAAAGCTGTATGATGCCACTTAGGGCAGGTCCCTGGAGGAGTGAGATGCATAGAGACAGGAAGTGGACGGTGAGGCCAGGGGCTGGGGGACGGGGTGGGGAGTTGTTTCGTGGGGACAGAGTTTCAGTTCTGGAAGATGAAAAGAGTTCTGGAGATGGACGATGGGGATGGTTGCACGACAGTGAGAATGTGCTTAATGCCACTGAACTGGACACTTAAAAAAGATGAAAATGGTGGGTTTTATGTTATGTGTATTTTACCACAATTTTAAAAAATGAAAGTGAATATTGGTGACTTTCAAATCACCACAGGAGTTGAGATACGTTAAATTTTAAAGAGCAGCGTGATGGTGTTCTTTTTCAAATGTCAATATTTGCAAGACGTTGGGAATGACAAGCTTGGCCACTTTTTAAACATAAGATGAAAAGTTTTGGATGTCAACTTAAAAGTGTGTCAGGGGACATAAGGTTTTTCAAAATTCTCTTGGGGGCAAAACAGTAGTGGCTCAGGAGCCTGCCAGACCTGGGGCTGAGTCCCCACTGTGCCGTCTTCAAGCTGTGTGACCTCGGGGAGGCAGCATCCTCTCTCTGAGCCTCAATTCTCACGTCTGTAAAATGGGCCCAAGATCAGTCTTTGTTGAGAGAATAAAGTAACAATGGTGTGTGCGGAGAACTCAGCTAAGCCCTGGCTGCATCCTGTTTACCGTTCCCCTTGCAGGTTCCTGCAGCCCTGGCCCCCTGGCCCCGCTGCAGAGCCGCCAGCGCGAGTACAAGCTGGCGGCCCTCCACGCCAAACAGCAGGGAGATAACGCAGCTGCCACCAGGCTCTTCCGCGTGGCCAAGGTGCGTCCAGACAGGCGGACAGAGCTGGACGGGCAGTACAGGACGCTTCTGACATTTCGTGGTGGCAAAGAACTTGGCCTCCGGAGTCAGACAGGCCTGGATCTGGATCCCGGCTTGTCACTTCCTAGGTGTACTTTGCTGCCTCCTGAAGCCTCAGTTTACCCCCTCTGTGAAATGGGCGTCAGTGTGAGAAGAGGCTTCGGCACCATGGTGCAAAGGCAGGGACAGAGCTGGGAGTCTGTGTTGTGTGGCGGGGCGTGGCGGCTCCTGGCCCCCAGCTGCAGCCTCCTCTCTGATCTGCTTCCTTCTCCCAGAGCTTTGACGCCATCCTGGAGGCGCTGAGCCGGGGGGAGCCTGTGGACCTGTCCCACCTACCCCCTCCACCTGGTGAGGACCCCATCCTGCCCGCCCCGTAGGACTGCTGCAGGCTTACACCCAGTTCCTTCTAATGCTGCTCCCCGTTGGGCGCGCCTGGGAACTCTCTCAGGTCGGACCAACCTGGGGCGGCCACAAGTAAGCACCTCATTGGATGGAACTTTCTGCCCCCAGACCAGCTGCCCCCAGACCCACCGTCCCTGCCACCGCAGCCTCCAGCTCCCGCCATGGTGCCCTCCACACCAGGTAGGCTCCTGGGACCCTCTGGGGTGGCAGGCTGGGGCCAGACAGTCTCCCGTTCCCTAGACTCTTAACCCTGCCCCCCGTCCGGCCCAGAGGGTCCCGCAGCCCCGCGGACTCTCCTGGAGGCGCTGGAGCAGCGGATGGAACGGTACCGTGCGGCCGCAGCGCAGGCCAAGGCCAAAGGCGACGAGCGGAAGGCTCGCATGCACGAGCGCATCGTCAAGGTGAGTCGGGGCCAGGCAGGCGCACGGCCTTGGAGATGCTGCCGGGCAGCCCTCACACTCGTGTCCCCCGCAGCAATACCAAGATGCCATCCGAGCCCACAAAGCTGGCCGGGCTGTGGATGTGGCCGAGCTCCCCGTGCCCCCAGGTAGGCCGCGCCCCTGCCCCCACTCCTCCAGCCTCTGAGCCTTGCAGGGGCTCTTCCTCTGCCTGTGCAGGCTCAGGGAGCTGATCGACACATGTGGGGACTCCGCAAGCTTGCTAGACAGTTGGTAGCTTGCAATCGGTCACGATGGGAGTGTTGACACCATGGAAATGAGCAAACTCTAAGAATCAGGTTCATTTGGAGAGCCGGGTCCCCACCTGTCACTGTCTGATTCTGTTTTCTTGGTGTTGGGCTCACTCCTCCCCAGTCAGCAGCTCTCAGCCTTACAGACACTGACTCAGCCTCCCGTCAGTCCCCCGGTGGGTGGAGGCCTCCTCTGGGTTCTCAGAGCTGCCTGTGTCCCCCATGAGTGCAATTACCTCTCTGCACCTCGGTCCCCTGGGCATCCCTCCAGGCCAGGACCAGCCCTGTGCCAGCACCCCCATCCCGCAGCACTTACCTGCGGGAATCTGGTTGAGGCCTCGGGTCAGGCGAGAGGAGCCACACGGCAGGAGGGAGGTGGAAGGCACTGGGGTCTGCGCGTAACCCAGAGCAGCTCCTTCCTGAATGCGGAGGAGCCTCAAAGGCCCCAGGCTGCTTAGAAGGAGGAACCCACGGCTCCACCATCATGGCTTGGGTCTCCCCTTCCTGACCCGGCCCTGACCGGCCGCCCAGGCTTTCCCCCCATCCAGGGCCTGGAGGCCACTGAGCCCACCCAGCAGAGCCTGGTGGGGGTCCTGGAGACTGCCATGAAGCTGGCCAACCAGGACGAAGGCCCGGAGGATGAAGAGGATGAGGTGCCTAAGAAGGTGTGAGGGGCTGGGGCCTTGGGGAGTAGCAGGGCCTGGCAGCCCATCAAAGCCCTCACGGTCCCGGCCAAGAGCCGGACAGAACTGGCCTCACACCTGGACTGCCACGTCCTGGCTGTGTGGCCATGGACAAGTCCTCATGCTCCCTGAGCCTCAGTCTCCTCGTCTGTGGAGTGGGCGTGGTGATAGTAATAGTCCTCACCTCCCCGGGCCGGTGTGAAGGTTTGGCCAGAGCAGGACTGCGCGTGTGCTCAGCGCTGAGCAGAGACTCAGGGCCCCTGTTGTTGGTGTTGGGCCCGGGCCCTTTGGGGAGTGGACTTGTCGCGGGCACTGGGAAAGCTCTGACTTCCTCTCCATCCCTCAGCAGCCCAACAGCCCTCCGGCCCCCACGGCCCAGCCCAAGGCCCCCGCTCCAAGGGCACCCCAGTCAGGATCCACCTCAGCAGGCAAAGCAGCCCCCAAGGGCACATCCACCAGAGGTAGGTGTGCCCTCCCCTCCCGGCTGCCCGTGGCTGGCCATGGGCTGGGCAGCGCCTACAGATGCCCCTGTGTCCACAGCCCAGCAGCAGCTGGCCTTCCTGGAGGGCCGCAAGAAGCAGCTGCTGCAGGCCGCACTGCGGGCCAAGCAGAAGAACGATGTGGAGGGCGCCAAGATGCACCTGCGCCAGGCCAAGGGGCTGGAGCCCATGCTGGAGGCCTCGCGCAATGGGCTGCCTGTGGATATCGCCAAGGTGAATGCTCCTGGCCTGCTGGACCTGTCCAGGCACCTGCCCGACCGACTCCAGCTGCTTGGCAGCCACGTGACTCAGAGTGTGTTAGGCAGAGTCCAGGTTCAGTAACCAATAGGCCCCAGGGCAGTGGCTGAAACAAGACAGACTCACTGTGGTCTGGGGCCCAGGTGCCTCCCATCTGGTTGCCCTGTGCACCCAAAGAGATCGTCCTTGTGGTCCAAGTGGACCGCTGCTCTGTCAGCATCCAGCCCGTGGGAAAGGGTGAGAGAGAGAAAGGACAGGGCAAGCAGTTCCCTTTAAAGGGAGTGTCATGGAGCTGCCATCGCTTCTCCTTGCCTCCCATTGCCCAGAACTGAGTCACATGGCCACACCTAGCTGCAAGGGAGGCTGGGACATGTAGTTTCTTGCTGAGCTGCTGCCTGCCCAGCCAGAAGTCCATCGCTAGGGAATAGGGGGTTGGGGTCAGGTTTTGGGGGAGACAGCAGATTCTGCCTCTATGGGCAGGACCATGCACCTCTCTCTGAGCCTCGCTTTTCTCCTTGGAGGGGAAGAAAGAGCAGGGCAGGGGCCAGAGCGGTGGTCAGGAGGGTGGACGTTTCTGCAGAGCCCTGGCTGGGCCCCTCCCCATGAGCCCGTCCTCCCCACGAGCCCGTCCTCCCCAGGTGCCGCCGGCCCCCGTCAACAAGGATGACTTCGCCCTGGTCCAGCGGCCGGGCCCGGGTCTGTCCCAGGAGTGCATCCGGCGCTACGGGGAACTCACCAGGCTCATTCGGCAGCAGCACGAGGTGAGGGGGGCCCTGGCCCAGGCACAGGCCTCCCCTGGTCATGGCCCCCGACCCTCCCCACACTGTCTCTGCTCCCCAGATGTGCCTGAACCACTCGAACCAGTTCACCCACCTGGGCAACATCGCTGAAACCAGCAAGTAAGCACCCCTGCCCCCACCCTGCCTGCCCTGGGGACCCGGGGCCTGAGCAGGCCCTCTCGCTGCAGATTTGAGAAGCTGGCGGAAGACTGTAAGCGGAGCATGGAGACTCTGAAGCAGGCCTTCGCCCGGGGGCTCCCCACACCCCCTGCCCGCTTCGAGCAGAGAACCTTCAGTGTCATCAAGTAAGGCCCTGACCCCCAAACAACCCCCGCCCAGATGCCCCTGTGGAGAGGGGTTTGCCCTCCCGAGAAGCTGGCAGACGACTTGCCGCTAGAAGAGAGTTTGGGTGGGTGGTGGGAGCACAGCACGTGCAAGGGTCCTGAGGCAGAAGGATGGCTATGGGGTATTGGTAGTGACACATTTGAGGATGGCGGTGATCTAGGGAGTGCAGAGATGTGACTTGTCCCAGGGGCCTGAGCAAGCCCGCCTGGTGGTGGTTGTTGGTCCTGCTCCAGTCCAGTCTTCCCACACCCCAGGGAATTGGGGTCATCTTTCCCATTTATGGATGAGGGTGCGTGCAGCCACTAGGATAACCACCTCGGATAACCTACACCCCTTACCCTGGCTCCCTCGTGTCTGTACAGTCTGGCTCCTGTCACCTCATCTCTGCCCACTGTCCCCACTTTGCTCACCTTCTGCCACACAGGCCTCTTTTCAGTCCCTCTGACACGCTAACCGACAGGCAGCCTCTCCCCTGGCTGTTGCCTCTGCGCAGACCCTCGTCCCCAGGTTTCCATGGAGCAGCTCCTTCTTGACACCCGGAGTCCCCTGTGATGTCACCTCCTCTGAGAGGCCCTCCCCGACCCACTGTCTAAGCAGCCCCGCTGAGCACACTCTGCTCACGCCACCTGGGCCCAGGGATGGGTGTCTCTCTCGCTGCCCTCCCTGGCAGTGAGCACGCCGGCCAGCACAGAGCAGGGGGCTTCAGAAACATTGTCAAATGAGGAGAAGGCCCCAGAGCAGCTGGGCACTGGCTGGGGAAGGGGAGGGGGCTCCAGAAATACCGGGCAGTGAAGGGAGGGTTCCCCAGAAGCAGCGCCACTGGCTGGTGCAAAGTCAGTACCGAATAAATGTGTGCAGACTGAAGAAAGGCCCCACCGGTGAGCCACGGGCAGAACTGGCCAGAGCACTCCAGTCTGTCCGGTTCTGAAACTGTAGCCCGGGGGCTGGAACGCCCCCAAAGGCCCGCGTGGCTCTGTCCCCCACCCCCGCCGAGGGAGAAGGGCTGGCAGGCAGTGAGGCTGAGGCGCCTGTCTCCCGCCTGCCCTCCCGAAGGCTCTTCCCTGACCTCAGCAGCAACGACATGCTTCTGTTCATCGTCAAGGGCATTGGCTTGCCCACGCCCCCAGGTGAGGGCGCGGGGGGGTGCTCAGGGCCATGGGGACCACCTCTCTGCCCGGCTCGGAGCCTCGTCTGACCCTCCTCTGCCCGCAGGGCTGTCCCCTGGTGACCTGGATGTCTTCGTTCGGTTCGACTTCCCCTATCCCAACGTGGTAGGTGGAGAGCCGAGGGGGGACGGGCGTGAGCCCCCTCAGGCCTGGGGTGGGGCGTCGGGCAGGGCTCCAGGGCCAGCGCCCAGCCCCTGAGCCTTCCTGCCTCCTGTCTGGTCACAGGAGGAAGCTCAGAAAGACAAGACCAGTGTGATCAAGAACACGGACTCCCCCGGTGAGCCGAGCCTCGGGTGGCGGCTCCCCCGCCCCTGCGGAAGGAGCAGGGGCCATGCCTAACCCCAACCCCTTCCTCCCGCCGTCCCGCTTCCCAAGCAGAGTTCAAGGAGCAGTTCAAGCTCTGCATCCACCGAGGCCACCGTGGCTTCCGCAGGGCCATCCAGACCAAGGGCATCAAGTTCGAAGTGGTCCACAAGGGGTGAGCTGGGGCTGTGGGCACTGCGGGGGCTCCCGGGGGCCAGGCGCTGCCGGGGCCAACCATCCCTCACGCACACAGGGGGCTGTTCAAGACCGACCGGGTCCTGGGCACAGCCCAGCTGAAGCTGGAGGCCCTGGAGACAGCGTGTGAGGTCCGGGAGCTCCTGGAGGTGAGGGGGAGGCTCACCCAGACGCCACGGTGTGCCACCCCACTCGGTGATGTCACCCAGATGCTCCCGCAGGCCACAGCCTCCCAGAGTCTCCTCTGCTGACCCAGACCCTCCCCTGGCGTGCCAGGGCTCCCCACCCCCAGCCCTCCCTACTCCCAGCACCCTGCTCCATCCTCGCCACCAGCTGTCTGAGCCATACCCAGGGCTCAGATTTTGGGAATTGCCCTGGTTCTGCCTGTCCCCAGCCCTGGACCCTCCCAACAGCCTCCTCTCCCACCCAGGTCCTGGACGGTCGCCGGCCCACAGGGGGCCGGCTGGAGGTGATGGTCCGGATTCGGGAGCCACTGACGGCCCAGCAGTTGGAGACCACAACCGAGAGGTGGCTGGTCATTGACCCCGTGCCGGCAGCTATGCCCCCCGTGAGGCTCCTAGACAGTGTGGCGGCCCCGGGAGGGAGGCTGGGTCAGGGCTGAGACTCAAGGCTCCTGCTTTCCTCTGAAGCAGGTTGCTGGGTCCAAAGGGAAGGCTCCCCCCGGACCTGCCCCCACGAGGGAGCCAGGGAACAGGTAGGTGGCTGGGCCAGGCCATCTGGAGAGAGCCCCCCTCTTTCTGTCTCAGCCCCTCCTGGACACTTTCCCATCAGGCACAAATTGGAGCATGTCCCTCCCTGCTTCAGAACCTTTCCTGGCTCCCCTTCTCCTGGAGGATCTAGTTTAAACTTCTTAGCTTGATCTTTAAGACCTTTTGTGATCTGATCACTGTCAGTATATTCAGCTTTTTGTCTCCGCACTTCTTCCTGTTGGTTCATGGTTACACCTAGTTTGCACTGGCCTCTGGGCTTCTTTCTATTACCAGGCCCTGAGCATCCCTACCCCCACACTTGCTTCCTGCTCCTCTGCCCAACTCTGTCTGCTTTCGGTCCCTTCTTGGCTGTGGCCTCCTCCAGGAAGCCCTCCCTGACCAACTGGCCTCCCAGTTGCCTGGGTGTGCAGCCATCATCCCCACTAGGCTGTGGGCTCAGCAAACTGGGGTGGGCCTGCCTTGTCTCCTGCTGTTCCCCAGTGCCCGGAGTGACTTGAATTAATGAAGTCGGGCGTGGGGATCCCTGCGGCCCCTCATCCCTCCCCTACCCCATAGATCAGCCCGGCCCCTGCATAGCCTCAGTGTACTGGCCTTCGACCAAGAGCGGCTGGAGCGGAAGGTGGGTGCTTGGGCCAGTCATCTGTCCCCCTTGAGTGGGGTGGGACTAGGGGGTCTGTGGGCCCAGGCAGGGCCCTCACAGCCCCTCTGCCTCCCCCAGATCCTGGCCCTCAGGCAGGCACGGCGGCCAGTGCCCCCGGAGGTGGCCCAGCAGTACCAGGACATCATGCAACGCAGCCAGTGGCAGAGGACGCAGCTGGAGCAGGGGGGCCCGGGCATGCGGCGAGGTAGGGCTCCTGGCAGGCCCTCAGGGGAGGGGGGTCTGGCCCCCGGGCCTTCTGACCCCTGCTTACCCTCCTCCCCCCCCCTCCCCCACAGAGTATGTGGCCCAGCTGGAGCGGCAGCTGCAGTTTTACACGGAGGCCGCCCGGCGCCTGGGCAGCGACGGCAGCCGAGTGAGCCGGGCGAGGGGCGGGTGAGGGCTGGGAGGGCTTTTGGGGGCCGGGCCGCGCGGGCTGCCCACTGACCGCCCATTGCCCCCAGGAGGCTGCAAAGGAGGCACTGTACCGACGGAACCTGGTAGAGGGCGAGGTGAGCAGTGTGGGTGTCAAGGGTGGGGGTGGCTGTGGCCATGGCCCCTGACCCCAGCGCCTCTCCCCCAGCTGCAGCGGCTCCGCAGGTGAGGGGCTGACGGGGTGGGCAGCCCAGGCCCTGGCACCAGAGGAGCTGACGCGGCCGCAGACCAGACTAGCAGACAATCAGCGGACGGTCGGCTCCAAGTGGACACATTCCCCGTGGGGCCCACCCAGCCAGAGCTGCCCTGTCGGGGGCGTCGGGTCGGTGCCCACCAGCCAGCCCATGCCCCTCGCCCAGGCCTGGCTGGTCAGGCCCCGGAGAGTCCCGTTTGCACAGCCTGGGGGCGTCTGGCTCCTGGCCTCCATGGAGGTGGGGGAGGCTCGGACCAACCCTGAGGCCCCCGCAAGCACTTTACGTCCTGTCACTCCCAGCCTCAGCCCTGGAGCCCACCCACACCCCAAAGAAGCCACTGAGGCCAGCCAGAGCCTGCCAGCTCCCAGGGGTGCCCTGGCCCAGCTGGCCCAGGGCTGACAGGGGGAATAAACACCCAGGGCCACACCCAGCTCACTGTCCTGCCTTTGTCTCTCTCCGCCTCCTTGGTGGCTGGGCTGGGCTTTCCCCCACAGTCCCCCTGTGGGTGGCTGGAGAGGCCCTGCAAGAGCAGCGAGTGTTGGGGGAGTGTGGCCGCAGCTGGTGGCCTTGGGCATATCTGGGTTTACGTGTGTGGTTGGGCCATGTGTGGGGTGCTTGGTGACCCCTATGTGCTTTGAAAGCCAGTCCTGTTACTCACTGGGCAAGGGACCTGGACCAAATTGCCTGACCCACTTAGCATCCCACAACCTGTTTCCCCAGCTGGACGCGGGGTGGGGAGAGCCCCTCGCGGCAGGTGAAGGGCGCATGGCAGGTGGTGAGCAATTCAAAGGGTTAGACTTTATTGTCGCTGTCTCCATCTGTGTGGGGTGGGGGGCAGGGCCGGCGTGCTCTGGCGCCTGGGATGCGAGCCGCATGCTTCTGTTCCGTTCTGTGAGTGGAGGTAGTGTCCCCACCCAGCATGGCTCAGGCGGGCCCAGCCCTCGAGGTCTGGGAGAGCCAGGTGGAGCCCCAGTTGGGCGCCGTCCCCTTAGTCCATGGCCCAGCGGAGCCCCGGGGGCCTGGGCTGCACCGCTGGGCCCCTCTGGGTTCAGGGGCCCTCTGCCCGTGGCCGACGTGGGGCTGTAGGTGGCAGCCGGACCAGGACTTGCTCAGGGTTACCTGCTGTGTCCACAACACGCAGGTGCGGGAGGCCCAGGAAGGCCTCGGGTGCGATGCTGGTCATGTGAAGCCTGTTGGCCCTGGACGGAGGGGTGGGCGTGAGGGCGGATGCAGGGGGAGGAGGCCACCCAGTCCGGAGCCACCCGGGCTGCTTGGGTCCACCACAGCCCACCCGGGTCCACCCCTGCCCTTCGCCACTAGCCCCGCCCGGCCACCCTCGGGGCACCTGAGGAAGAGGGCACGCAGGCGGGGCGTGCTGAGGAAGGCCTCGGGGCCCACATAGCTGATGCGGTTGCCCTGCAGGTGCAGCTCCTCCAGGGCCTCAGGCAGGTCAGGGGGCATGAAGGACAGCTGGTTGTGACTCAGGTCCAGCACCTGGCGGGCGGGCGGGCAGAGATGGCGCCGTGGCGGCCCCAGGCCTTAGGCCAGCTGCTCAGCCAAGCCCCACACTGCTCTCCTCCTCGCCTCCCTCCCCCGCCCGCCCAGCGCGGTCCCTCTGCCCCCTCCCCTCAACCTCCTTTGTGGCCGCCAGTTTCTTCCCCTCGACAGAGGTAAACGGAGCCCTCCCTGGGGCAGACCGTGTTCCAGGCGCTGGGGGCCCAGACGGAGCCCCTGCCTGGCGCGGGAGACGTCGATTCAGTCAGTCACCGAGACAGTGCTTCCCCCGCATCCTCATGCCCACCCCCTGCTCTGTTATTCACTTGGGCTGTCAATGCTTTCTGCCTAACTGGGTATTTGTGCCGGGGCCAGGAACTGTGTCATTCTGTGCCTAGCGGCACAGCGCCCGGCACCCACAGGTGCACTCAACGGTGTGGCATCGATAGGGCGCACAAGGCGCTAGAGGCCGCGGTGCTTGCTGGGGAGGTGGAGGGAGTGGTGGCAGAGGACCAGGCTGCGGGGACAGCACGGGCAAGGCCTGGAGGCTGGAGCTGTCTGACCTGCCCAGGGCTGGCGCATGGCGGGGGCTCCCGTCGTGTGGCAACTCAGAGCCCTGTGGGGAGGAGCCGGGCAGGCAGGGGGACAGAGGGGCCCTGGGGACAGTCAGTATGGCTCACCAGCCCACCCCTGACCTGGAGGGCCTGCAGTTCATGCCAGGTGCCGGGCCCAATGTCGCCCACTCGGAGCTGGTTGTGTGCCAGGCTGAGGTCCCGCAGCTGGTCCAGGCCCGCCAGCGGCTCGGGCTCGAGGGCCCGCAGCTGGTTCCGCTGCAGCCGCAGGGTGTGCAGGCCGGCGGGCAGGCCGGCGGGTAGCCGCGTCAGCTGGTTGCCGGCCAGGTCGAGGCTGCGCAGGGCACGCAGCCGCCGGAAGGCCCGGGGGTGCACGTGGGCACTGGCCAGGCGGTTGTAGGCCAGGTTGAGCTCGGTGAGGCCCGGCGTGGCGGCCAGGTCACGGGCTCCCAGCATGGCCACGCGGTTGTGGGGCAGCACCAGGGCCCGCAGGCGGCGGGGCAGCGCAGGCGGCACGCGGTCCAGCCCGTTGCCGTAGAGGTGCAGCGTGTGGAGGTCCCGCAGCGGCCGCAGCGCCCCGGCAGGCAGCCCGGCCGCCCCCAGCGGGTTGTGCTGCAGCAGCAGGTAGCGCAGGCCCCGTGCCCCGCGCAGCCGCGCTGCCTCCACCTGCCGGATGCGGTTGCGGCCCAGGTGCAGCACTGCCAAGGTGTGGGGCAGGCCGGCGGGCACCGCGGCCAGCTGGTTGTGGGACAGGTCCAGGTACTCGAGACAGTGCAGCTTGCTGGCGGGAGAGAGGGCCAGCCTTGGGCTGGGCACCCAGAGGTGGGGGCCCGGTGGATCTGGGGGCAGGGGAGGAGTGGTCCTGACATTCCAACTTGGGGGCGATGAGTTGAGAGAGGTAGCTGGGAGGTAAACTTGGGGTAACCAGGGCAGGGTTCTGGGTCTGAGATCTGCATGTGGCCGCTGTGACACTGGGCGGCGGTGGGGAGCAAGGATGCTGCCGGGTGCTGGGCCGAGCCCGGCACACAGTAGGTACTCACCACATGAGGCCCTGGGTTAGGGGTCATACAGAGGAGGGGCACAGAGGGTTGGGGTCCCCGGACTCCGAATCCTCAGCCCCTACTGCCAGCACAAGGCTGTGCGCCCGTCCTGCTCGGTCCCAGGCCCACCTGAAGGTGGTGGCGTCCAGGCCGCTGTCTGTCAGCTGGTTGTGCTGGAGGTGGAGCTCACGAAGGTGGGTCTGGCGGCTCAGGGCCCCTCGGGGCACCTTGGAGATGAGGTTGTTCTGGGATGGGAGGAGAGAAGGAGGCTGAGGGTCAGAGTCAGAGGGCAGCAGGAGCCATGGAGGGCTCTCGAGGGAGGGAGTGACGAGCGGGGACCTCTCTGGGGCAAGGCTGCTCAGACAGCCCTCGTGGACCCCTGCGGGGGGAGAGGCCCAAGGAAAGACATTTCTGACGGCTGGGATCCTGGGGAGGCACAGGGTCCCAGGAGTGGTGAGGGCCAAGGTGAGGGCACCTGCAGGTGGAGGCGCTCCAGCGCGGGCGGCAGGCTGGGCGGCACGTAGCGGAGCCGGTTGCTGGAGAGGCTGAGAGTGGCGACGGCCGCGGAGCCGCGGAAGGCGTCGGGGGGCAGGCCGGTGTTGCCCAGCTGGTTGTTGTGGAGGTACACGGCCCTGAGGGGAGCCAGGCTCCGGCACCCGCCTGCCCGCCTCCCCACGCCATGCCCGCCCACGCCCGGCTCAGCGCCAGTGCGGGGACTGCCTGGGCGGCCGTCTGGAATTCCCCAGCCCGGGCAGCCGGGGCTCTGTCCCCCGCCTCGGACCCCTGGGCTGGGGCGCTGCCCCCTCGCACCCCCCACATCGCATAGCTGAGGCTTGGGGCCCAGCTGGGCCAGGGGCTACCTGAGCGCCGGCTTCTCCCCGAAGGTGAGAGGGAAGATCTCCGTCATTTGGTTGGCGGCCAGGTCTGCGACCCGGAGGGAGCGAGGCAGGAACTGTGGGGCCACCGAGAGCTGCGGGGCAAGCTGAGCTGGTCCTGCTGCCCCCCCGCCCCGCGCCGTCCAGCTGCACGGCGCTGGGGGCCCCGGGCCGGGGGGCTCACCTTGTTCTGGGCCACGGAGATGTGCTGCAGCTGCGTGAGCGACTCGAAGGCCTCGTCGGGCAGGCCTGGGAGGGGGCGGCGGCGAGGGGACCCAGGTCTGGCCGGGCGCGGGGTGGAGGCAGGGCGCGCCTGCTGCCAGCTGCCCGGGGCTCCTGCCGGGTCTGGCAGAGCCACCTCCAGACACCCCCTCGCTGTCCCCAAAAGCCACAGCCCCCCCTCCCCTGAGTTTCCATCCTGCTCAGCAGAGGGCAGTTCCAGGAACCGCCGCAGAGCTGCCCACAGACCCGGCCGGGGGGGAGGGGGCCCCTCACGCCGGCCCCTCACCCTCGGAGGAGATGAGGTTGTTGTGGAGGTTGAGGGTCCGCAGGCCGCTGAGGCGCGACAGCTCGTTGTAGGGGAGCTCCTGGAGCTGGTTGTTCTGTGGGGCGGGATGGGGGCAGGCCTTCACGCCCCTGACCCCGTGACCCTGAGCCTCCCACAAGCGACCCCGGCCCTGGTTCTCAGCTCCCCGTCAGCCTAAACACGTGAGCCCTGACAGCCCATCACCCCCACAGCGGATCCCAAGTGCTCCATCACCCCGACCCCAAACAAGCCCATGACTGCCGAGACGTTGACCCCCAGCATCTCCTCACGCTCACAGTTGACCCCAGGTGCCCCGCACTGGCCCCAGGACGTTGATCCCGGCACCCTCCAACCTCAGCCCCCACAATTCTAACGTCTGCATCCCCAACCCCACTGGCCCCTGGCACGCAGACCCCAGCACTCTCATCCAGGCCAACTTGCATCAGCGCTGAGACCCCACCCTGCCCGTGGGCCCCACACCCCATCACCCTCAACCCAGCACTCCCCTGGCCCCCACCCCCTGTGGGCCCCACCTGCAGGGAGAGGTGCTGGGCCGCCCTGGTGATGTTGTCCGGGAACACCTGCAGGTCCAGGCCGTCGCAGTCCACTGTGTCGTCCCGGGGGCAGGAGCAGCGCAGCGGGCAGGCCCGAGGCGGGGGCTGCGAGCTCTCCCCAGGGTGGGGGAAGGCAGCGTCCTCCATGCCCAAGGCGGGTGGGGGGCCGGGCAGCAGCAGGAGCAGCAGCAGGCTCAGCCGCTGTGAGCGGAGGGCCAGGTCAGGGCGTCTCCCGGCTGGGCACGGGTCGCCATGGCGACAGGAGCATCCCCAGATGCGGGGGCAGCCAGGCCCCCATCTCAGACCCATCCCCGCCCCTCCTTACCATGGCCAGCCCCAGCTCTGCCTTCTTGCCCGAGCTGCCGACCAGGCTCCCTGATGGAAATCAGGCGGTCACCTCCTGGAGCCTCCGCTGTGGCCGCCACCGCCCCCCCATCTCCACGCAGAGGCCACCCCCAGCCTGTTCTCCCAGGGGCTCGGGAGCTGGCCCACCCCCTTCCCCGCCCTGGGGAGGGTGGGCGGGCTGCCGGATGAGGTGGTGAGGACAGGCCGGTCCGTCCCCTCGGTCCCCCCCCAGCAGCCACCCCAGCTCTGCTTGCGTAACCTCGGCCAGCCTGGGCCCGGCCCGGGAGCAAGGAATGTTTGGGGGAAAGCTGAGATGCGCCCTGTCTGGTATTTGGGCCGACCGCAGGAGTCGGGGAGGGGGCCGGGGGGAGGACGCTGCAGCCCGCAAGAGGGTCCCCGAGGAACGGGGGCTGGCAGCAAGGGGTCAGGGCAGGCCTGGGCTCAGCCTGCCAGCCCAGACACCGGCCTGGGGACCCTCAGCCGGGTCTGTCATCTCGGCCCCTCCTCCCCTCTGCCAGCTGGCCTCCCTGGCAGCCAGACTGCCCCCTCCCCAAGTGGCCACAGGCACCAGCCGGAAGGAAATTACACGTACCGAGGCCCCCGCGAAGGACGTGTGCTCAGAGCCACAGGCCTGGGCTGGGACCCGGGCTCTGCCGCTCCTCCGGGCCTTGGTCTCTCACTCTGCAAAGCAGGGGAATGACTGTCTTACCTCGCAGGAGTGGTGTGAGGATAAATGAGAGAATGCAGATGACGTGGGCAGACAGCGCCTAGCGCATCCTGGGCCCTCAACTCCAGAGTGGCGGTGTGTGCCATGCGGCGAGGAAGCCCGTCCCTGCCCAGGTCCCTTCCCCTAGAAGTGCCCCTTACCAGCCAGGTGACTTCAGGCAAGGCACTTTCCTGTCCAGCCCCAGCTTTCCCACGCACAAAGTGACGATGACAGAAGACCCTCCATGACAGGGCTGTCACAAGGCAAAGCCAAGTGGCAGACAGAAAGCTCCAAGCGTGGCATCTGCCCCTCACAAGTGGGGGTGGCTGAGCCAAAGGGCTGGCAAAGGGCCTGAAGGAGGTCGGGGGCCTCCCGACCGCAGAGCCTGAGACGAGGATTGAGTGCATTTCTCTGGGAGAAAGCAGCTGCAGGGAGGCAGGGAAGGGCCAGGGTGAAGGAAGGGACCAGTGAATAATCGCTCAGTTATCACGGGGGGTCCTCTTGCCTGGAACTCGCCATTGTTAGCACTCATAATCCTGCCTCCGGAAAACCCTTAATGTTGGGCAAATTGGGATGGTCAGTCACTCTCGTTATCAGGCAAGTTCCTGCCATAGGCAGCTGGGCTCAGTCCCGCTGGGGACGCTGAGAGGTTGCAGAGGACACCGGCTCAGAGTCACCTGCCTGTGGGGCCAGGCCTGGGGGCATTGACCCTCCAGCTCCCTCCATCAGTCGCTGGTGGGTGGCTTCCCCGAGGGCCCGAACTCCCTGGCGCTTAGGGCAGAGCAGGCTTCAGCCCTAAGGGGACTCAGGGGCCTGATGGTGGGGCCTGAGGGGTGTGGCAGGCCCAGACAGCACCTGCAACAGCACGGGGAGATGGCAGCGGTGTGGCAGTGGGCGGGAAAGAGGGGCAATGATGGAGAGAGAGGGTGTCTGCACTTTGAATGCCCCTGCCACAGCCAAGGGCACTTAGACCCAAAGAGGTGATCATTTTTGCCCACGTTTCTAAGGACTGTGTGGTCTCGGGAGGGGGGACCCTCGCAGCCCTTCAGGGCTGGGGCAGGGAGCAAGTCTCAGCTTTGGCCAGAAAAGAACAGGCCCCACCCCAAGTCCTCCATGTGGGACTGACAGCCGCTGGTTTGGACATTGTGTAGAAGGCCCTCAGTCTTCCCAGCAGAGTAAGGGGGCCAGCCCCAGGGAGCTGCTGAACTACGGCACCAAGCCTAGCCCCAGGAAGCAGCAATGAGAACCAGCTGTTGGAGTTTCTGTTGGCCTCTTTCGGTTGCAAAGGATGGAGAACCCAAACCAAACTAACGAATGCGAACAAGGGCGTTTATTGACTCTTGAGCGGAGATGTTGGAGCAGTGCGTCCTTCAGGCATAGCTGCATCCAGGGACTCAATGACATCCTCAGGATGGATTCTCTCTCTGCCGCTCGGCTCTACCAGCAGGCTTCTCTGTGTGGTGCCAAGATACCCCCAATGTCAGTCCAGCTTAAAGCCCCAAGCTTGAATCTCATCAGCTTAGTTTTGGTCACGTGTCCATCTGGAGCCAGTTCCTGTGGCCAGAGGGACGGAATGTGCTGATTGGCTAGGAACCTAACCACCGCTCTTGTAAATGACCTGCTGGCCTTCAGCGGCAGCATTTAATGCACCTCATGGAGTGTATGTGGGGTTGTGTCTGCGTGGGGGGAAGGTTCACATGGGGAGGGAGTGTTGGTGTCACTCCATGAGTAGGAAGGCTCTGGGGTCATGGGGACAAGGGACAGCTGCAGTAACGCTGTGGGCAGCTAGTGTGGCAATCTGGTCTCATCTTGGCTGCTGGGGGGTGAGGGGAGGAGGCAGGGTTGATGTGGGAGGGAGCAAGAGGCTCATGGGAAGTGTCCTCTGGCTAATTAGCCCTTCAGCATTTGGGCCCAATCCACGACATTGCTGCTCTTTGGCTGGGCCTGCAACTGCCTGGAATAAGGAACTGCATGTCCCAGGCTCCCTTGCAGCTAGGTACAGCCTTATGACTATGGAAGCAGAAGTGGTACGTACAGCTTTGAGGAAAAGGGGATGTCTTTCTACTTCCTACTGTTGGAATGACGATGTGATAGCTGGAACTCCATCAGCCATCTTGGGCCATGACATTAGGTTGGGAAAAGAAGCCTTGATTGGTGGAGCAACAAGATAGAAGCAACCTGGGTCTTGCATACCGTGGAAGGCTGTGCCATCCCTGGACTGACCAGAGTTTTGATCACTTCCTGCTTCCCCCATTGGTGAAGGAGGGTCCCCTGCCTTAAATAGTACAAGATGGCGGAACACATGACACCCAATGCTGAGTAGATGAGCTTGACGCTGGCTTATTAGTCACAGACACTCAAAGCCCAGAAGAGGAGGGGGACACCTCATGCCACATAGAGCCACGTGGGGGTGGAGGGTGCACTCGGGGGCAAAGTCAAGAAGCAGGAGCTGTGGGAGGCAGGCTTTGGAGTGACAAAGGGTGGGTGACCTCTGGTTCCAATGGGAGGACGTGATCGCCTGTTGGGGTAATTTCTCGGGCCGGCCAAGAGGTGAGCCCTGAGGTTGAATAGCAGGTGGGTGCGGCTAGTCTGGCTGACAGAGGAACCAGCCGGGTGGCAGCCTCCTGCTGCGGGGGATGGCATGTATGCCACAGCCGGGAACTCACGGTTGGGCCCATGGACCCGTGAGGCTGGACCAGGTCAAGGTGGCGTGTGGATCTCAGGCTTTCAGCCCAGCCTGCTCCGGTCGTCTGGTCGTGGGGGAAAGAGAGCTCCCGTTGAAGCCACTGCTTCTCTCTTCTTCCTCCCCTTTTCTTTTCCTCTCAACTGAATTTAACCTTAGTGGATACAGAGGACAGTGGAGACAGAGGATACACGAGCCGAGGAGAAAGTGTAGAATGAGAGGAGAAGGGAGACGGAGGGAGACCCTTGAAGAAGGCTTATGCTTGGGGCGGGGCAGGGCAGGAGAGAGGCCAGCGATGGCCGCGGAGAGGGAGGGTCAGAAAGAGACGAGGGGGCTGGCTCGGTGGCGCAGCAGTTAACTGTGCATGTTCCGTTTCGACAGCCTGGGGTTCGTCAGTTCAGATCCCGGGCGTGGACATGGCACCGTTTGTCAAGCCATGCTGAGACAGGTGTCCCACATATAAAGTGGAGGAAGATGGGCACGGATGTTAGCTCAGGGCCAGTCTTCCTCAGCAAAAAGAGGAGGATTGGCAGCAGAAGTTAGCTCAGGTCTAATCTTCCTCAAAAGAAAAAAAAAATTAAAAAGAAAGAGATGAGGACCTGACAGGATCTGGGAAAACTGGAAGTGCGCCAGCCAAGCCCTTGTGATGGCCTGCTGGCCATGTCACTGTAAGTGATGTTATAAGATGATGGCGGGGTGCGGCATGCCCAGATGGGCGAGGCTGTGAGGCATTTCGGTGGATTAGCATTTCCGTCAGGGGGCTCAGTGAGCAGGGGGCCCTCCACAGTGTGCGTGGGCACCTTTGAACCCGTGGGCCTGAATACAAGAGGAGGAGGAAGAAGGCTGTCACCCTTTCTTGTCCTGCCTGCCTGCTCGAGCTGGGACGTCGATCTCCGCCCGCCCTCAGCCTGGAATTTACACCAGCCGCGCCTGGTCTCAGGCCTCCGGACTCACACTGGAACGGTGCCACCGGCTCTCCTGGGGCCCCAGCTCGCAGATGGCAGATCACGGGACTTCTCCGCCTCCAGAATCACATGAGCCAACTCCTCATAAGCAATGTGTTTATATGTATATATATAATATACACAAAAGGATATATATGGATATATGAAAGGATATATGTCTATGTAATATATGTAGCTATATGTGTATACACGTACATCTTATTGGTTCTGTTTGATGTGTATCAGGCAGGCAAGATTGTTCTGCATAACAAACAAGCCCAAAGGTCAGTGGCGAGCCCAGAGTTGGTCTTCCACACAATTCAATCCCAACAGACGCACACCGCCTCCGAGCCACAGTCACTGAGGGACCGAGTCTGACGGGGGCTGCACCTTCCCAAACAGCAGCCTCCACAGGTGCTGGCACAGTGGGAGAAAGAGAGGAGACCCCCAAGTCAGCTTCCCACCCAGAAGCGCGTCCCTACACTTTGGCTCCTGGTTCATTGGCCAGGATTAGTCACGTGGTCCTGCCTGACCCCAAGGGACGAGAAGCGGGGAGCAAGGGGAGGAGCAAATGGAATATTTTGAATATTTGAAGTATTACTGTCTCTGCAACACCCAAGGACCAGCAGTCCATTCTTCTGGAAAAACTTTTTGTTTTAATAAGAATATCTTTGTTTTTGCTTATCTTTTTGAGGAAGATTAGCCCTGAGCTAACATCTGCTGCCAGTCCTCCTCTTCTTGCTGAGGAAGCCTGGCCCTGAGCTCACATCTGTGCCCATCTTCCT